TTATAATCGTAAATATTTTCTGAATTTTGAAATAATTTTCCTGAAAGGTTTTCAGATCTTTTATAAATAAATGAAAGGGAAGATTGATTTAGAACGATTTCTATTTAGTTGAACTGGAGAATCTGCCATTTAACAAATTATTATTAGTTATTTATTATTTTTTTTTTATTATTTTGTCATGTATGGAAATTATTTTATTATTAAATTAATTTTTATATTTATTTATTATTATTACAGGGTTGTCACAAGTCAAAGAAGTCAGGGAAAAATCAGGAAAAGTCAGGACTTTAGTCAAAATTTAAATTATCTTTATAAATAATAAAATTCTTCTCCAAAATTCAATTCTTCTCCGAAATTCAATTATTTTCAAAAAATTTAATAAAATTCTTAGCAAAATTTAAATTATTTTCAAAAATTTTCCTCATTTCAATTATTTTTAATATCTACTATTTTTTTAATCAAATTTTACAAAAGAATTCTTTTATTTAAACAAAATTTTAATAAAAATTTCACAGGAATTCAAATACATACCAATTTTTTTTATATTTCTTCGCACTAATTCAATAATTTTTAATTTTTTAATGAAGTTTCTCCAAAGAATTCAAATATATTCAGAGAATTGAAAAAAATAGTTCTGAAAAATTCAATTATTTCGAAAAATTTCAATAAAACTCATTTACCTAAAAATTCTATTATTTAAAAAAATTATGACAAAATTCTTTTCTTAATAAACTTTTAATAAACTTGCAATTTTAATAAAATTTTCCTATTAAATTTAATTATTTTCAATACAATTCTTCTCGAGAATTCAATTATTTTCAAAAATAATACATTCTTTTATGGGAATTCAATTATTTAGAAAAAAATTGAATAAAATTCTTCGCTAGAAATCAATTATTTTCATAAATAATAAAATTTTTCTTGAGAATTCAATTATTTAAAAAAATTTTGATAAAATGCTTTACAAACTTGAAAAATTATAATAAAATTGGTCGTAGAATAAAATTATTTTCGTAAAATATAACATTCTTCCTAGAAATATAATTATTGTCAAAAATGTTTGTAATAATCATCGAAAGAATTTAATTATTTTCGTAAAAAATAAAATTCTTCAAAGCAATTCAATTATTTAAAAAATTTTAATAAAATTCTTCTCAAGAATTCAATTCTTTTCAAAAATAAACATTTTCACAGGAATTCAATTATTTAAAAAGGGATTTTCTTTAATTCTTTGTCAGATTTCAATTATTTTCAATTTTTTAATGAAATTTCTCGATGGAATTAAATTATTTTCAAGAAGTTTTAAAAAATTCTGAGAAATTCAATTATTTAAAAAATTTGAATAAAATTCTTTGCAAGAAATTAATTATTTTCATGACTAATAATATTTTTCTCCAGAATTCAATTATTTTTACAAATAAAATTCTTTACAGGAATACAATTCTTTAAAAAAATTTTTAATAAAATTCGTTGCTAGAATTCAATTATTTTCATAAATAACTAAACTTATCGCAGAATTTCAATTATTATTTATACAATTTTAAATATAATTATAGAAAATTGCATTTATTCTTAAAATTTTTGTTTTAAAATTCACCGAAAGAATTCAATTATTTTTAAAAATTTTAATAAAATTCTTCGCAAGAATTCAATTCTTTTAAAAAATAAACATTTTCACAGGAGTTCAATTATTTGAAAAAGAATTTTTTTAAATTCATTGTCAGATTTCAATTATTTTCAACTTTTTAATGAAATTTCTCGATGGAATTTAATTATTTTCATGAATAATAATATTTTTTTCCGGAATTCAATTATTTTTACAAATAAAATTCTTTACAGGAATTCAATTCTTTAAAAAAAATTTTAATAAAATTCCTTTCAAGAATTCAATTATTTTCATAAATAACAAAACTTATCGCAGAATTAAAAATTTTTTTTTATACAATTTTAATTATAATGATAGAAAATTGCATTTATTCTTAAAATTTGTTTATAAAATTCACCGAAAGAATTCAATTATTTTTAAAAATTTTGATAAAATTCTTCATGAAAATTCAATTTTAAGAAATATTCAATTATTGAATAAATTATTTATTTTTGTATGTAAATAATTGAATTCTCAAAAAATTTTCTAAAAAAAATTTATTAAAAAATGAATTTCAGGTAAAAATTTTAGATAATAATCGAATACTTATTAGAAGAGTTATATTGTGTGAATTTTTAGAAATAATTGAATTTTGGAAAGGGTTCAAATTAAAATCTTTGAAAATTGGAATTTATAGTTACAATATTCTTATAATATAAAATAATTATTTTATCACTCTGACATTTAAAATTTCTTCTTGTTTTATAATAATATTCTCATAAGTTACTGAATTTTAGAATCTTAATTCTGTAGAAAATACTATAAAAATATTAATTAATATAATAAAATAAAAAATTAATTTTTCAGGTTCAGGGAAAAAGTGAAAATTTTATCTGGAAATCAGGGAAAAGTCAGGGAAAAACAAAATTAAAGTTTTGTGGCATCCCTGTTATTACTTATTATTAATTTTAGAAATTAACAATGTTAATTATTATTTGTAATTAATAACACTGATTATTAATTAATTAGAAATTGATTATTAATTATTAATTATTAAACACGTCCTTATTGGATAAACTTGGTTTATTCGCAATTATTAATCATTTTGTGCTTAAAATTGAAGAAAATATTACCCGAGATTGTAAATGAAAGGAGATAAATTACAAACACCTGAAGAGAACATAGATATATAAACATACACGCGAAAAGATGCGTAATGAACTCGAAATTGACTTTTCGAAAATAAAAGCACGCGAATGTTTGCGCTTAATTGTCAGATAAAGATAAAAGTGGAATTATGAATCAAAAGGTAGAGAGAGACACGTGAGATGAATGCTCTCTCTCTCTCTCTCTCTCTCTCTCTCTCTCTCTCTCTCTCTCTCTCTCTCTCTCTCTCTCTCTCTCTCTCTCTCTCTCTTTCTCTCCTTGGGCCTCTTTCTTCGTTCGTGACTGTTCGAAACGTGCGAAACCAGTTATTTAACTACAAGTCCCCACATTGCGGCTGTATGTGGGAACGACTGACTACCGGGAGGATGCGAATGCCTACCACTCATGGTGCCTACAAATCTCGCCACCTTGAAGCACCTTGGACCCTTTACTAAGTGGTCGAAAAGGAAAAAAAGCAAAAAAGAAGCAGAAAAAAAGAAAAATGCGAACGAAAATGGAAAAGAAGCACAGAAAACGAAAAAAAGTAAAGAAAAAGAAAAGAAAGGAAAGGAAAAAAAGATAAAGTCGAAAGAAGAGAAAAAGAGGTGGGAAAAGAAGCAAAACGAAAAAAATTAAAGGAAAAGAAACAGAAAACGAAAAAAGCTACAGAAAAAGAAAATAAAAAGAAAATACTAAAGAAAAAAAACAGAAAAAAATCGAAAGAAACTAAAGAAAAAGAAGGAGGAAAGGAAACAGAAACAAAAAAAAATTAAAGGAAAAGAAACAGAAAAACAAGAAGGAAAAGAAACAGAAAACGAAAAAGCTACAAAAGAAGAAAAGATAAAAGAAAAGAAACAAAAAAAGAAAAATATACAAAACGAAAAAAATTAAAGAAAAAAAAGAAACAGAAAACGAAAAAGCTGAAGAAAAAAGAAGAAGGTAAAACAACAGAAAACGAAAAAAGAAGGGAAACCAAAAAAAAAAACAGAAAAGTAAAAAAAGCAGAAGAAGGAAAAGAAACAGAAAAGGAAAAAAACAGAAGAAATAGAAAAGAATTAGAAAAAGAAGAAAACGAAAAAAGAAAAAGTTAAAACAACAGAAAACGAAAAAAGAAGAGAAACAAAAGAAAAACAGAAAAGGAAAAGAAGCAGAAGAAAAAAAAGAAGCAGAAAAAGAAGAAATCGGAAAAAGAAAAAAGAAGGACAATAAGACGCGAAGAAGATAAAGAAGAGAGTGCGCGCGAAAATAACACGAGGACAGGGGCCTTGCAGCGAAATACATAATTGAATGAAAACGCGGTGAACAGCACCAAAAGGTAGTTCTTTCTAAAAGGGGGTGGGATAGGGTGGGTGGAATGCTATAATTTCAAGCCAGACAGTCATGCGTTATTCAACTCCGAGTACAACGCTCTCTCAAACCCTTTTCGTCCTTCATCATGAGCAATGCTCTCTTTCGCTCTATATTTTCATTGTTTTTATATATATATATATATATGTATTCCGATCATCCCACTCCCTGTCATCACTGTCATTATTCGGTCAACTCTCGCCTATAATCAATACTTTTTTTCTCCAATTAAATAAAATTAATTTTCATCAAAAATTTAATTCATCCAATTAAATCATTTGATTTTATATATTTTTAACCACGCAAATAAATATTTACCTTATACCTAATCATTTTATTTTATCGTACGCTGGAAATTTGATTTTCATTCAAATAAAACCGAAAATTTGTGTAATATCAACTAAATATAATTTACTTAAAGCAAATAAATATTTAAATCAAATAAATTTTATTTTAACCAGTAATTTCGATTTTTTTTCATTTGAACCAAATAAAAATATTTGAACCAAATAAATTGTATTTGAATCAAATAAATTATATTTGAACGAAATAAATTGTATTTGATATTTTATTATATATCAAGTATATTTGCTTCAAATACTGAAAGTATTGGTTCAAATACAATTAATTTGATTCAAGTAAATATTTATTTGATCGAAGTAAATATTTATTTGATTCAAGTAAATATTTATTTGATTTAAGTAAATATTTATTTGCTTCATGTAAATATTTATTTGATCCAAGTAAACATTTATTTGATTTAAGTAAATATTTATTTGACAATAGACAAATAATCGATTCTTTGAATAAAATAAAATTTTATTTCAGTGCGCAGATATAAAATTTTTATTCGGAGATTTTTCCATTTATAAAAGTAAAAATCTTCTATTTTTGTCTAACTATTTGTTGTTTAATGTTGCAGGAGAGCGATAACCTTTGGTGGGATGCATTTGCAACTGAATTTTTCGAAGAGGATGCAACTTTAACTCTTGCGTTTTGTTTGGAGGATGGACCGAAAAGATACTGTAAGTCTCATTATTTATCAAAAAAAAAAAAATTTATACTTTAAAGAATTCAAATTTTCTCTTTATAGAAAAATTATAATATTATTATAATTATTATTATAATATTATATTATTTTAATTATTTAAAATAATTTTTAATAAATGCCTAGAAAACAAATATATTTGACTCAGTGCCAACTAGACTTTTTTTATTTGTTTTTGCAACAAAAAAAAAAAAAAACATTTGGTTTTCATTATTTGGTTTAAATAAAATTTTATTTAGTTCAAATAAAATTCCCTTGGTTTAAATAAAATTTTATTTGGATCAAAAAAAATTTCCTCGGTTTAAATAAAATTTTATTTGGTTCAAATAAGATTTCATTTAGTTTGAATAAAATTTTATTTCGTTCAAATAAAATTCCCTTGGTTTAAATAAAATTTTATTTGGTTTAAATAAGATTTCATTTAGTTTGAATAAAATTTTATTTGATTCAATTAAAATTTCATTTGATTTAAATAAAATTTTATTTGGTTCAAATAAGACTTATATTTATGTCGAAGAAAATTTTTAATTTAAAAAAAAATAATATAGGCTCTGGGACAAATATACTTTTATTTAATTTGAAAGAATTTTTTGAATTTGGTTTAAATAAAATTTTCCTCTGGGTGGAAAAAATTGATTTTGTTTCTTTTTTGCTTTTAGCTATAGGAAGAACATTAATACCAAGGTATTTTCGTTCGATATTTGAGGGTGGAGTGACGGAACTTTACTATAATATGAAGCATCCGAAGGAGTCGTTTCACAATACGAGTATAACATTAGACTGTGATCACTGCGTTATGGTCACGCATCATGCGAAACCAATGTTCACAAAGGTGAGACTCTTTCTTTTTTTTCTATTAATGTCCATTATCTTAATTAATTGAGGGGTGGATTCATTCACTCTATTTGACTTCTAAGTATATAATTCTTATTTTTAGACGTATAGTTGATTTTCATTTTTTTTTTCCTTTAATTTCAGGGGAGGAAAAGGTGAAATTTTAACAGATCTAAATTTACTTTGTTGACAATCATTTCAATTTTTTTTCTCTGTCATTTTTGGAGGGGGGGGGGGGGGTAATTAAAAATTATTCCATATTTAATACGATTTTTTAGAAAATTATTTTTTTATTATATCGTTTTGGAATTTTTCGTTATTGCGAAAATTGAAGTTTATTTTTCAATTTCTTACTGAAATTTTTATTTCAATTTTTTACTGAAATTTTTATTTCAATTTTGAATTGATATTTTTTTTATTTTAGAATTATTAATTATTATTTGTGTATTTTTAAAATCGTACTTTTTGCGTTAATCGTAGGATTTACGTATTGGTTTTTTTGAATCGTACTTTTTACGTAAATCGTAGGACTTACGTATTCGTATTTATAAAGAGTATTTTTTTCGAAATCGTAAAATTTACATAAAAAATACGATTACGAAAAGCAAAAAATTTATGAAAATAGTCCAGATGAAAAATATTCTTCAAAATACGATTTTATTTCAAAACAATTTTTAAAATTAATACAAAATTAAATTCTTACGAAAAAAAAATTTATTTCAATGAAATTCAACAAAACTTTTAATTGTTTCAATTTTTAAAATTATTTTCGGGAATTCAATTATCTGCAAAAAAAATTTCAATCATAATTTTTCAAAAACATAATTTTTTTGTAGAATTTCTACATTAAAATATTCAAACTGCAATAATTTTTGTTAAACAAATATTTAAAAACTTACTGCTATTTATTTTAATTGAAATTTCAAATAATTTTAATGTAAAACCTTTTGAAATTTAATTATTTTTAAAAATTACAACTGCAATTTTTCCAAAAGTGAAATATTTTTTAGAATTTTTGAATAAAATTAATTAAAACTTTAATCATTTTTAAAGGAAAATTATATGTTGATAATTTTTTTAATTAGTTTAAATATTATTATACTTTTACGGAGATTAAAATGTTAAAATAAAAAGATTTCTATTTAAAAACATTTTCAAATTTAATTATTTCTTAAAATTTCTATTATTACACTTTTAATATTCAATTATATTTCAAAATTAAAATTAAAATTATTTTTTAAATCAATTCTTCTTAGAATTGAAAATAATTGAATTATTTAACTAAAAACATTTTTGTAAAATTTAATTATTTCCCAAATTTTTACATACAACTCTCCAAAAAATATAATAATATTTATAAATAATTTTTTTAAAGTAAGAAAATAAAATTCTTTGTAATTCAAAATTTATTTTAATGAAATTTGAGAAAATTTCTTATTTTTTCATGATTTTAAAATTATTTTCGGTAATTCAACTATTTTCAAAAAATGTTAATTGCGATTTTTTAAAAATCTCATTTTTTCCGTATTTCTAAATAAAATTTTTCAAACTTCATTAATTTTTGAAATATTTGAATACTTATTGTTATTTATTTGTCCACCAGGAATAAAAATTTCAAAATACTTTCAATGTAAAACCTTTTGAATTTTAATTATTTCTAAAAATTTGAACTATACAATTCCTCAAAATCTTGAAATATTTTCTAAAATTTTAACTGAAATTCTTTTAAAAAAGTTCTACGAGAATTCATTAATTTAATTACAAAAATAAGTGACAAAATAATTCATTGTTTCTGAAAATTGTAACTGTAACTCTATTTATGGATTTTTTTTTAAATTTTTAAAACGAGAAAGAAAATTCACAGACTATTTAAGATTTTCAATAATTTGATATTTTTTTCATGCTTTGGGTTTGGATAAAATTTCCTTACTTCACGAGACGATGGAATATCTCGATTATTATTTTATAATCAAAATTAATAAAAAATATAAGTTCTACTAATATATTCTTTGAATAATAAATTTTTTTGAAATTTTTATAATGAAACATAATTTTAGATTCTCAGTAATATATTGGAAAATAAATTGAAAATCCTAAACAAGGTAAATTTTGATGCGTTTAAATTGAAATTTCACTCTTCCCTTCCCTTGAGTGACTGATCCATTCACTAATTTCAGTTTAAAATGGAAAATTATTATTTTTAGACGTGTAATTAATTTTCATTTTCTCAAAATTTGTTTTCTGTTTTTCTACTACATAATTGTTAATTATTTTTTTTTATTTTGTTTTTAAAAGTATTTTCTAATTTTCTAAATTCTGTTTAGTTTATCAATTATTATTATTATTCTATAAATCAATTTTGTTTTAGAATTAGAATAAAATCCCTTTATTTTGTTTTTTATTACACAATTGACAGTAAATTATTTTTCTCTCGATTTTGTTTTTAAAATTATTTTCTAATTTTCTAAATTCTGTTTAGTTTATCAATTATTATTATTCTATAAATCAATTTTGTTTTAGAATTAGAATTAAAATTCCTTTATTTTGTTTTACTTAATGATTGTTTTTTTATATTTATATTTTTGTATTTTTATATTTTTTCCTTATTTTTATTTTGTTTTTGTATTTATTATTGTTATTTTATCTTGTTATTTTATTTTGTTTTTTCATTTATTTATTTTTGTATCTTTTTTATTTTTTCTCATTTTTATTTAATACTTTTATTTTCTTATTTTATTTATTCAATTTAATGGTCTTTTTTTGTTTCACTTTTAATTAATTGATTCTAATTTTGTTTGCTCATTTACATTTTTGTTTAATACTCGTTATTCTACTTTTAGGTGTGTACCGAGGGTAGGCTAGTTCTTGAATTTACTTATGACGATCTCATGAGGATAAAGTCGTGGCATATGACGGTGAGAGCACATCGAGAATTCGTACCTAGATCCATGGTTGGAATGCACTCGCAACAACAGGACCCGGCGTTATTAGATCAAATTAGTAAAAACATCACGAGGCAAGGGATAACCAATTCCACCCTCAATTACCTTAGGGTAAGATATTTGCTATTTTTTTCTACATTTAACTTTCATTTCCTACGAGTCGGAATTTTTTTTCTACAATTTCGAAACTATTTTTATTTTTATAAATTTGAAGAAAAAAGAAAAAAAATTCAAATCATAAACAAAGCTTCAGTTATTTTTCTAAATTGCAGAAAAAGAAATGAATTTTATTTTCTGAAATTTCATAAAATGAAACTTAAGAGAAAGGAGAACAAAGTGTTAATCTGAGAAATAATGTAACACAGTGCTTTATGTGAAGAAAAAAAACTATTGGAAATTTCATGAGAAGAAAATTTTCAAACGTAGTATCAGTTCTTTCACTTGATCTAGGCTTAAGTCGTGTTCATGTTTCGCGAAAGTAGAAAGAATCCGGGTTACGATCCAGCTTCTTTCGGTTCCAGAACGCTTTCTCTCTCCTCTCTCTTGTCTCGTGCCAATTTTTTTTTTCTCTTCTTTTTATTTGAAAAATATCGAAGGGAAATTTAATTAATATTTTTTTTCTTTTTTAGTTATGCGTGATTCTAGAACCAATGCAGGAGCTTATGTCGAGGCATAAAGCGTACGCATTGTCGCCAAGAGATTGCTTGAAGACAACCCTGTTCCAGAAGTGGCAGAGGATGGTTGCCCCGCCGGGTAAGAGAGGTAGACGGACAGTTGCTTTACATGAGAACCACCAGCCAGTGGAGCCAGTCAGCAAGCTGGTCTGCTACGGTTTACATTCAACAAAATTGATTTTAAAATAATAATTAACGATTTTTCAAATTTCGTGGATTTTTTTACTTTTTTTTCTCTCTCTCTCTTTCTATCTATACGAAGAAATAATGTAAAATGTTTCAGTATTTTTTCTATTTTTGCTCATTTTGTGCATTTACTTTGGTTCACAAGGTTTCTCCACTTTTTCTGTATTAAATATTCTTGGGGTTTTTGAAATTTTTCATCCGATTATTCGAAGAGGAAATAATTATTTTCTATTTTTGATTTTCTGTAAAATATCCCTGATTTGTGAAATTATTCCCCTGATTATTCGAGGAGGAAGCAATTTTTTTCATTTCCTTTTCTATTTTTTATTTTCTAGAATATATCCGGCTTTTCGAAATTATTCCTCGATTTTTCAGAGAGGAGCTAATTTTTTTCTATGTCTTTTTTCCATTATTGATTTTCTATAAAAAAATATCCCGCTTTTTCAAATTATTCATTAATTTTTCAAAGAGGAAATAATTATTCACTATTTCTTTTATTTTATACAAAAAATATACCGTTTTTTAAAATTATTTCTCAGTTTTGTCAAAGAAGTAATAATTATTTTCTATTTATGTCCTTTTCTATAAAATACCACCGATTTTTTGAAATTATTCCTCAATTTTTCGAAAAGAGAATAATTATTTTCAATTTAGGTCCTTTTCTATAAAATATTCCTCGATATTTCAAAGAGGAAATAATTATTTTCTATTTATGTCCTTTTCTATTTTTGATTTTCTATAAAGTATCTCTGTTTTTTGAAATTATTCTCCCGATTATTCGAAGAGGTCAATTGTTTTCCTAAAAAGTGAAATAATCATTTTTTAAAATATATTTTTTAAATTTAGTTTTTAATATTTTTCACAATTAATTGTTGTGTTAGACATTTTTTTACATTTATAAGAATTTCGACAATAACAAAGTTCACACAGTTCAGAGAAATCAGGGAATTTCTTCCCAAAGTAGTAAAAAAAAGTATTAAATTTTGTAGGAATGCTGCAAAAATTTAAGTTTTTGCTCAACTTTGAAAATATTGAAAATTTTAAAAAGTTCGTGAATTTTCTTTTTCACCTTGAAAGTTTAACAAAAAAATCCGTGAAAAGTATATCTTCAATTTTCATTTAAAAAAATTTCTTTTTTCTATTTGAATAATTTAATTCACGCATAATATAAAATTATTGAATTATTATTATTATCAACTATTAATTGATTTACAGAAAGTTATAATTACAAATTCTAGAAAATAATTGAATTTTGAAAGAATTATTTATTGTATAAATATATTATACATAAATATTAGTAGATATTTTTACAAACAATTAAATTTTGAAACTCTGAAATTTTAGAATTTCAATTTACATTTTTTTTTTAAATTAGTTGAATTTTAAAATGTAAAATTAATTAAAAAATGTTCGTATAAAACGAAATTTCTTAAAATCGAATAATTGAAAACAATTGAATTTACAATTGTATTTTAAGTAAACTTTCTTCTTTTTTTAATAAATTTCAATTCTCAAAGAACATTCAGAAAATTATTAAAAATAAATAAATAATTCATTTAGAGAAGAATTGTAGTTTAAAATTCTAGAAAATGATTGAATATTGGAAGAGTTACAGAATTTTTTAGAAATGAAAATAAAAATATTTTTAATTTCAAATTAAAATAATTGAAGATTTGAGTTTTAAATAATTTTAATAAAAATTCTAAACAAATGAGTTAATTGAACAATTTTAACTGACATTCTTTATTTCGAAAATGAATTTTTGAATTGAAAAATTTTTAAATTATCGAAATTTCGTAAAATTGAACTAAAAACAATTGAATTTTACACAAATTTTAAGTAAAATTTCATTGTTTAGATTAATACTGAATTAAAATATTTTTAATTTCAAATTAAATTTTAATTCAAATCAAAATATTTGAAAATTTCAAATTCAATTTCAATTCAAATTAAAATATTTAAAAATTTCAAATTAAATTTTAATTCAAATTAAAAAAATTTGAAAATTTGAATTTTGAATAATTTTAATTAAGAATTCCAAACAAATTTTTCAGTTATCTGAAAAATTGTAATTGTAATTTTATTTTAAGTGATCTTTCTTTTTCTTGACTAATATTGAATTCCCAAAGAAATTTCTCAAATTTTTCAAAAAGTAAAAATAGACTAAATAAAACTTAGTTAGAAATTCTAGAAAATAATTGAATTTTGGAAAAGTTGAAGTAGTAATTTTTTGAAATATTCTTAAATTTTAGAAGTTTAGTAATTTATTGAATATTTGCCAAACAATTGTAAATGTCATCAATTTTTATTGTTATAAATTTTGCATTTTACAGAATTTTATTATAATTTTTTAGAAATAACTATGTGTTTTTGAAGAAAAATGTGGAAAAAATTTTAAAAATAATTGAATTTTAATTATGTTTTTAATTTTTATAAATAATTGAAATTTAGAATTAAAGGGTAATCTCTAACGACAATTTTCTTTATTAGAAAAGGAGAGAAAGTTAAAAACTTTTGTCGAAATTGGAGAAGAGAAATAGAAATAGAAAATAGAAAAATAGAAAAAGGAAAATAGAAAATAACATTTCTGATAAAAAGACGACTTTTCTCGTCCTTTGAATCGATTATAATGGCATATTTTTTCTTTTTTGCATCTTAAAGTTGTTCCGAAGTCTGCAGAATGTAAAAATTTGCTTTTCTTTTAACTCAAGAGGAATTAGTTGTTGCTGACAAAGTTAAAGAACTGTTTTCTTGAAATTGTTTCGCAACCTATATTTATGTTATACTTTGTATAATCGACTGTACTCTTTTCTCGGTTATCCTTGGTTGAACACTTTTGAACCTTCTTATCTTACTTTGCAATCGTGCGTTATGCGCGCACACCGCGTTTCCGTTTCTTAGTCCATATTTTCCCTCCTCTTTCGCAGTTGAGCTGGTACCTACGACCGTATATCCTTTGCAAGGTCGGAGGAGCCTTGGAACCAAAGCGTGCGCGCAATATTATGCAATTTTTTTTTATCTATTTTTTTTTGATGAGTAAAGCAAACAAAAAAAAATTTAATATCTATTTTTTGGAAAAAAAATAATAATATCTGATAGAGTTTTTGTTTTTTTGTTTAAAGAAAGATGTAAAGTATCTGTGCATTTGTCTGTCGCTGCATGAGTGCCTGTATGAGCGTGTTACGTTCATACATTAGAGACCTTTGATACTGAGAAAGGTCCACAGCTGGGTAGTGAATATAGATTCAATTAGAGATGTTGCATACGCTTAGAAATACTAGGTGTGTGCACACGCGACACATTGTCTCATGTTTCGTTTCTTTTCTATTTATTCCAGAGTCCCAAAGACCAGCCAGCAAAAGGAGAAAGCGAAAAGGCAGTACGTCGGGTCCTGGGAATAACGCGCCTCCAGTTCCCAGTAAAAAACGATCCCCAGGTCCAAATTTCTCCCTAGCTTCTCAGGTTCGTTGGTATTTTTGGCATTTTATTTTAAATTTATTTATTTATTCCTTTTCATCTTTCGAGTACTGTAAACATTGTTTTTTTTCACTTCTAAGTTGAAGGGTTGAAATTTTAATAAATTTTCTATTTGCTTTTTTGTTTCTTAACTTTTTTAATAATTTTTCTTTTTAAATATTTTCAATTTTCAAATTCATGTTATAAAAATTATTAAACTCTTGCAAAAAATTTTATTAAAATTTTTAAAAATGCTAATTAAATTATTTTGAAGAATTTCTTTGAATTTTTTTAAAATAATCTAATTTCTTAAAAATTTTAATGAAAAATTTTGAAAGTAATTGAATTTTATGAAAAATTTCTTTCAAGTTTTTAAAATAATCGCGTTTCTTAATAATTGAAGTTAAACACTTACTTTTATTGAATTTTCTTAAAATGTTTGGAAATAATTGAATTCTTCTCAAAATTTTATTACAGTTTTCTAAAATAATTTAATTCATTCAGGGAATGTTATTAAAATATAGAAAATAATTAAATTCTTTTAAAGAATAGATACTATTAAAGGATTCGACAATAATTGAATTCTTTTAAAAAATTTTCTTAATTTATTGAATATAATCGATTTTCTTAATAATTGCAATTCATAATTTTACTATTAAAACTTTATTAAAATTATTGATAGAAAATTAAACTCTTTTAAACCAATTTTATTAGAGTTTTTGTAAATAATTAAATTCTTTTTAAGAATTTTTTTGTGTTTTTTTTCAAAATTGAATCCTTTCGTGAAATTTCATTAAAATTGTATTGAAAATAATTGAATTTTTCCGAAGAATGTTATTATTTACGAAAATAATTGAAATTTTGCGGAGAATTTAATCAAAATTTTTGAATATAGTTGAATTCTTTAAAGAAATTGTATTGAAAATTTTGAAAAATTAGTTTTTAAATTCTATAAAAAGAAATTTAATTTTTCTAGAAGTTTTTGTTAAAAAATTCACTTAAAATTTTTAAAACAAATTGTATCATTTTCTAATTTTTATAGAACATAATTTAATATTTTACAAGAAATTTCTTAAAAATTTTGAAAATAAATGAATTTTTAAAATAAATTTTACAGACAATTTTAGAAATAATTGAATTTTTGAGATTAACTCAATTTTAGAATTACTTTAATTATTTTTTAAATAATTGAATTTTGGAATTGTAATTGAAATTTCTCAAGTTTTAAAGAAGATATTTGAATATTTTTCAAGAAATTTATTAAACGTTTTGAAAATTAAGGAATTTTTTAAGGAAATTGACAGAAAAAAAGATTTTTAAATAACTAGAATAAAACGAGAAGGAAAAATTAAAATAATTGAAAGTAATTCAATGTTTGCAAAGACTTTATTATTTAAAAAAATAATTGAATTGATTCAATGGATTTATTAAAATTTTAGAAAATAATTGAATTTTTCTTGAAATTATATTAGAATTTTGTTGAAAATATTTGAATTTTTGCAAAAAATTTTATTATTTATAAAAATAATTGAATTCTTCCAAAGAATATTATTAGTTATGAAAATAATTGAATTCCTTGCGAAGGAATTAATATTAAAATTAATATTAAAATTTTTGAAAATAATTTAGAATTTATAATTTGAAATAACAATTTTTAATTTTATTTTCATATTAAGAATTAATAATTAAATATTGCATTTTCCATTCCTGGGCCTAAAGAATTAATTTTCAATAAACATTACCATAAATATATAGAATCTATAATTTGAAATAATAATTTTTGATTTCATTTTCATTTTCGTAATAATATGAATATTGTATTTTCCATTCGTGGGACAAAAGATTGAAATTTCAATAAATATTATTATTGTAAATATATAGAATTTATAATTTTAAATGATAATTTTTACTTTTATTTTCATTTTCGGAATAATGGAAATACTGTATTTTTCACTTCTGGACGAAAAGTTTGAATTTTCAATAAATATTATTATAAATATAGAATTTATAATTTGAAATAATAATTTTTAATTTTATTTTCATTTTCGAAATAATATTCGAATATTATATTTTCCATTTCTGAAATAAAAGTTTAAAATTTCAATAAATATAATTATTAATATTTTATTTTTATTATTATTATTATATTGCTTCCTCATAGAGAAAGGATTGTATTTAATATTTTTTTTTTTATTATTATTTTTATTTTATTTATTTTTATTATTATATTGCTTCTACACAGAGCAGAGGAAGGATTGTATTTATTTTTGTTTTGATTAAATTATTTTAATTATTATAATATTTTGAATATTAATAAATTGCAATCGCGAAAGTCAGTGTATAATATTAAATGATGTGACAATTTTCCATTAGGACGTGATGGTGGTGGGTGAACCATCGTTGATGGGTGGCGAATTTGGCGATGAGGATGAACGACTAATAACAAGGCTGGAGAATACACAATATGACGCGGCCAATAGTTTAGATCCTCATAGTCACGATACTCCTGGTGGACCACCTCCGCATCCGCACCAATTTCACTCTGAACCAACACCTGGCAATTCCTGGCCACCGGATCGTGGTCCAGGTCCTCCACAAGGAGGTCCCGGTAGTCAGGTAAATATTCCACTCATCACTACTGTCCGATAGTTTTTTCTTTTTTTCTTTTTCACAATTTGAGAAAATTATCTCTTCAATTTTATTCATCTTTTTCAAAAAGTGATGAGTCTAAAGACGCCAGGAGAAAATATTTTTTTTTCTTTGCCAACAAATTGAGAAAAGGCCAAAATTATTATTTTTAATATTATATTTTTAATATTTTTAATATTTAAAAATGAAAACATGGCTATTTTTTGATGAATGGCTTTCAAAAAAAAAAACGTTGCGGACTAGGAATAAAATAATAAATTTTCGAATTAAAATATAAGAGATGGGGAATATTTTTGTCATATTTTGAATTATAGGCGCATTATCGAGTGACATAACTTTGAAAATAACGTTACAGCTTGTACTTTGGGTTCGATATACCGAATGATTGCGAAATCTGATTCGTTGCTATACTAATGAGAAAATTATGATGCCGTTAGAATCAACCAATCAAGCTCTGTAATTATTCGATATCATCAAACAAACACTGATTTTACTTTATGTTGTAAATGTTCGAATTATGAATTTCAGTTACAATTTGTCGAATAATTCGAACAGGAAGAATATTATCAAAAAATAATATTAATAATATAATAATAACAATAATAAAAATATAATAATGTAAATGTATTAAAAATATCCATAGGTAGTCAAATCTGACAAAAGTTATTTTTGTATAAATTTTTAAATTTAATTAAATTTTCGAAATGTACAACTAAAAAGTTTTGGAATAATTGAAATTTTTTACAATTTTCTTGAATATAATTAATTTTGTTTAAGTATTTTTTAATAAAATTTTTAAAAACACCCATTTTGACGAATTGTAATTGTAAATTTTGAAAATAATAGAGTTTTCAAAAATTTTGATCTAGAAAATTTAAAAATGAAAACTTGTAGCAATTATTCAAAAAAAAAAAATTTTTAATTAAAATTCTTTAGAAAATTGATTATAATTTTTTGAATTGTCAACAAATTCTTTTGAGAAATTTAATTATTTTCGAAAAATTACATTACAATATTCTTTAAATAGTAATTTTAAAAATCCTTTAAACATAATTTTTTAAAATCCAATTATCTTTACAAAAAGTAAGTTAAACAGTTTTGAATTCTACTTTTTTCGACTTAAAATTAAAATTATGAAGAAATCACATATTTTTTATCTTTCTATTTAAAATTCTTCACAAAAATTTGATTAATTTAATAATTTGCCAAAAATTCGTTTATAAAATTCAATTATTTTCAAACATTTTTAATTAAAAATGCTTTAAAAAATTTAATTATTTTAAAAAGTTTTAAGAAAATCCTTAGTAATTAGTAAAAAATTTAATTATTTTCATAAATAATAAAATTTTTCATAGGAATTGAATTAATTAATTAAAAAAGTAATAAAATTCGTTTGCAGGAATTCAATTATTTTCATAAATAATAAAATTCTTCTCTGGATTTCAATAATTTTTAATACAATATTAAATGAATTTCTCGAAAAAAGTAGTTATTCTTCAAAATTTTTTTAAATTCTTAAAAAAGAAATAAAAGTTTCTCAAAAATTTTGATGGAATTTTTTATCAGAATATCAATTTTAAATAGTAAATAATTATTCTACCAATTACTTACTTCTATATTTAATTAATTGAATTCTCGTAGAAATTTCTAATAAGAATTGATTTAAAAATGAATTTCAGTTAATAACGAAATTGAATTTTAGTTAATAATTGAATATTAGAAGAGTTATTGTATGAATTTTTTGAGAGTAATTAAATTTCAACAGATTTTAAAATTAAAATATTAAAATATTTATTGTAAAAAATTATTGATTTATGTATTATTATTTCCTAAAAAATTATTAAAGTTTTGAATAATTTTATTTTGAAAATTTCATAAAAAATAATTGAGTTTTGAAAGAATTTCCCTGGTAATTTTTAGAAATAAGTTGTTAAATTTCGACAATCTTTTGCATTAAAATTATTAAAAATTTAAGTCCTGTGGAAAACTAAATAAGAATAAATAAATATTTATTTTACAAAAATTGTTTAATATTTGAACAATTTAATTTAGAAATTAAGAAAAAAAATTCTCTTTTGAAAAATTGTATTTAAAATATTTGAAGATTCATTCGAAAAGAAATGTATACGAGAAATTTTTGCGAAAATTAAGAAAATTTATTAAATTTTCAATTCGAAATTTTAACAGATTTAATTGAAATAAATTCTATATTTTGAAGAATTTTATTTTTTTACACTTAAAAATTATTTTTTAAATATAATTCTATTTTTGATGAAAACTAAAAAGGAAAGTAAATTAATTTTAGAAAAATTTTAAATTGAAGTTATTACCCGGATAGGGAAAAAAGAATATTCGTTTTGGAAATAAGGAAAAGTCAGGAAAGAACTGAATTAAATTTGTGTGTCCCGACTGAAAGAAGTCTTTTTCGAAGTCAAATTTAATTTTTCGATAGCTACATTTTTTTTTACTATAAAAATAGAAATAATAATGATCCACAAGTTTTGAACAATCAAATGAACGAACTTTTTTTAATTTAAAATATTTTCATAAATTACTGTTTGGAATAAAAATTAAAGTCTAAAATTTTACATTTAGAAAATTTTAATTAATTTTTGAACAAATAAAATCTTAATTTGCAGAAGAAAAATAAATTTCGTTCATTTGAATGTTCAGAACTTTCGAATCACAAATAATACTATTACTGACGATAATAATAATAATAAATTTCTATCCCCAGAAGATTTAGTTCCCTATTTTTTAATTAAAAATAATATTTTTTACTGAGCGTTGAGAGAAGGAATTAAAACGAATAATTTTCTTTAATAGGGAGTCCAGGGTTCTCAAGGTGGACAGGGTGCTGGAATACAGGGATCACAGGACACGAGTCAGCAACAGCAAGACAAGAAGAGCCCCGCGGTGAGCCAGTGAGGCCAGGAGTCCCCGCGCCCCCCCACCAGGGGGCGTCGGGGGCGCAGGCCCAAAAATTTGGCTCCCTAGCGGGGCGAGAAAAACCTCCCCAATTCCTATTTGGCCAGCTCATCTTCCTCGGCTGCTCGATTGTCGCAGATCGGCGTTCTACCTCTCAATTGTCAACCTGCACTTTCTGGTCTTCGTTCAGAGCAGCACGCACAACTGGGTCATGTTTCTTCCATGGGGATGGATTCATTGGAGCTATTAGCAGCCCATCATCAGGCTCAGCAGCAGCAGCAGCAACAACAACAACAACAACAACAACAGCGACAATTGTTAACAGCAGCGGATCATTCAGGAGCAACCGGATCAATGCCTACCGGTGGTTTACCACAACCACTTCAGCAAGCTCAATTGGGACAAACGCAAAATCAAGATCCACTACAGAGTATGGTACAGCAACTTGTCTGTTTGACGCAGCTGCAACAACTCCAGTTCCTTTTGACTCAGAGTGGTCACATGTGAAATGAAAAAGAAGAAGAATAAAAAGTCTATATTTACCCCAAAATATTACAAAGAATAACACAAGGAGTTTGGGAGTGTTTAGGCAATACATTTGTGCAGGATAAGTTAGTTTACAAAGGCTGAGGAAATCAGAAGATTAAAAAGTGCTCGATCCACTTGAACTCGCAAAATGTTTTAAAAAATCGATTTAGTGAAAAAGAAAAGCAACGCGAAAGTGAGATCCAGCGTGTGATAAATCGAATGTAGGGAAGATAACAAGTATAAAAAAAAGTGTGACTCTTGCACTAATAGAAACGCTAAGCCACGCGCGATAAAAAAAAAATATGATCGACACTCGGCCGTGGATCTGTGAATGAATCTCTATCCGTCAACAGTATTGATATAATTAATAGAGTAAATGAATATAATACTTTAAGAGGTTTTTAGCGTAAGTACGTACTGTGCAAAAACGTATGCAAGGAAAGAGACGTGAGAGAATGGATCCGAGATGACACAAGATTCAGGAGAGGTATGTGTGCTCGATTTTTCAAGTTTTTTTTTACACCCCCTCCCCCCTTTTTTCGAAAGTGCAGAGCCGTTTTTTATTTATTTTTTTTAATAAATAAGGCCGTACTGTCCATATGGACACATCCGTAAAAAATTTTTCCTTTTATTTTTAATATTTAATGAAGCACAAGAGTTTAAACGTTTGTGAATGCTCGAGTGTGAATTTACGTTTACTATCATAATTTTATCACAAGTACGCACAAAAGTACTACTGTTTTATGAAAAGCTCAAGAGTGGCAAGAAACACTCGGAAATTTAATCTGTTTATTTTTAGACGAAAATTTAATTAATTTCATTTCTTATTTTCGTATTTTGGAAATTTGTAAATATTTTTTTTTCATCGTTAATTTCTTTTTTAAAATTTACAATATTCGTTAAGTTACAATACTTAATTGTTATTATAATACTTAATTGTTACAATATTTAATTGTTATTAAAATATTTAATTGTTGTCACAATATTTAATTATTGTCACAATATTTAATTATTGTCACAATATTTAATTTTTATTACAATTATTTAATTGTTAATACAATTGATAACTGATAATTGATAAAAACAACAATTGGACAATTGTCACTTTATGAATATTGTAAATTATAAAAAAAAACAGATTCAGAAGGGCATTTTGCAAAGAAGACAAATAGATTCTAAGTAATTCTCTTGTTAGACTGCAAAATTTCCAAATATTGCATTGTAACGACAGAAAATATCTCTTCGTCTTCTAAGAAATAAATATATTTCTTATCTTGCATTTTTATAAATAAATCTTTTTCTGTTTTAAAACAATTACTTTTTCTCCAAACTCGAAATTTGAACTCGAAATTAATTAATTAATTTAAACTGAATCCAAATTAATCAATTAATTTAAAATGAGTCGAAATTAAGAAATTTAAAAAGAATTGAAATTAATTAACTTAGAATGAATGAAAATGAATTAATTTAAATTGGATTAAAAATTGAAACATGTTTATAAAAATCGAATGAAATTTACAAAAATCGAATAAAAAGGCACAGTTAATAAAAAGCGAATGAAAATTTAAATTAAAATTAAATATTAAATTTAATGTAAAATTAACTAAAATAAGATAAATCTAAATTTACTCACAACTTAGTAAGAAATCTTTTAATATTTATTTATTTGTTTTAAAATTTAAGTAACTTAATTCTTTAGGCCTTTTCAAAGATTCTCTTTTAGTTTTCCTAATTTTAATTTTATATTTATATATATAAAAATAAATTTGTATAAATAAATATAAATATTTATGTAAAATAAAGTATTATCTATTAATCTTGTATAAAAATTTAATTTCTAAAAATTCGAAAAATTGCGTACTTCGTTTTTTATTAGCTATTTTTGTTTTTTGCTGTTATTTACTCTCTCTCTATTTCTTGCCACTCTTTTGCAAAAAAAATAAAAACGATGTGAAATAAATAAATTCGTAGGCAATTATCAATTCACGCATTTTTGAAAGTGCGGATGTACAAATTTTCTACACGCTAATTGTAAACAATGGAAAATACACAGAAAAACAATACACATTTTTTACTCTCTTCTTCAGTAAATGAAATCCGTGACAAAAAGAAAAATATAGATGACAAAACTTTTTATTAAAAAAGAAGAAAATCACGACATCTTTTAATCGCCGTTTTAGACACTTTTCTGTCTGAAAGTCAATCGAAAATATTTCTTGCCAATAATTTTAGTTTATTTTACAGAGATTCGAATTATTTTGTTCAAAGATGAAATGAATTTCAAAGATTTTAATTTTTAATTTTCGTACAATTTTTTTTTTATGAAAAGTATTTAAATTTTGAAAAGGGATTTTTTTTTAATTACGAACGGAGAAAGATTTTATTTTTTAAATTGTTTGAATTTAATTGAATGTGAATTTACATTGAGTGCTGAATGATCTTTTTAAAGATCATTCGGGATTTTTTTGATTAGATTTTTATTTAAAGGACATTTTTTTTATTTTTGAATCATGATTTTTTTTCTTTACAATTTTCCCAATGGGATTAATAATTCTTTGTATTAATTCAATAGCGAATTATCATTTTATAATTTTGCAAAGGAATAATTTTTATTTGACGAACAATTAATTTTTTTCAAACAAAACGTTTTCAGTATGATTGAGATTTTGTACGGAAAAGTGTCTTTTAATTATGTATAAAGAAAGAGTATACACTATTCATAAAAAAAATGAAACCAATGTAGTGTAATGAAACAAAGATGAATGAAAAAATAAAGAAAACTACAGAGACACGAACATAACAAACAAAAAAAAAATTGCGAGAACGTATTGTGTGAGACTCGCAAAAAATTTACACGTACATTAATCAAGCATTAGTTCAATAAGCCACGCGTGAAGCCAGTACAGTCCCACAGCGCGTGTGTATGAAAGAATAGCCGAAAAAAAAATGTTTTATGCATGAATCTGAGTGTGTGTATAATGTGTGAGAAGAAGACGAAAAAAATAAAAACAAAAGTCTTGAATACAAGCATGCAGTGGGGATTTTTAGGATAAATGATTTATTGAAAAAATGTTGTATATTATTACCAATTATAATGACAACTATTATAATTAACTAATATACCCTAATAATGTGAATTGAATTTAAACGACAAAAAAAAATACATGAACGATAAGTAATAGGAAATTTTTAATTGTTAGCAAAGCACACGAAGTCGCCGTTTTAAAACAGACTCTCGGTCGAAATCGCATTAGCCAATCGATCCGCTCAAAGAAAAAAAAAATGAAAAAAAATAATAATAATAATAATAATGAAAAAGGTTTAATATCGATGGAGGATGGAGCATGAAAAAAAAATTAGCTAAAGAATATTAAAAAAAAGAAAATTACGACGAATAAAAGATGATGATAAAAATAAAAAGATACAGAAACGAAAAAATATAAAGCGTAACAATAAAAAGTGCATTATCAACGTCGAATGACTCGTGCGCCTTTGCACGCAAAAGAGTTGTTATAATTGGAACTACGTGATGGTTCGTAAATTATTGTAAATCATGAACAACAAGTTTCGTGCGCCGTCATCTATATTGTAAATAAATGAGTATAAATTATTGTTGCTGTGTTTTTTTCTTTATTTCATTTATTCGCTCATCCGTTCCGCTTCTCCCATTTTTTGTGAAGCACATCACGAGGAAATCATTAAAAAAGACAAAACACACAACCGTTGAATATGCACTTTTCCAAGAAAAAACGATTCGCAAACGATTGACTCGCACTTTCTCAAATATAATCATAAAAATCGAATTTCAAGCAAAAAAAGTAGGTAAATGAAAAAATTTAGTCTCAAAATGAAAACAAATCATATTCTTAAAAAAGTAAATGAAAAAATCAATCTCAAAACAGTAAATAGAAATTAAATGAGAAATATCAAAATTAAAAAGATACGAGAAAAAAAATTTTGAAAATTGAATGAAAAATAAATTCTTTTATAATAAAATAAATAAATTCCTCGTGAAGCTTTTTATTATATTTGCTAAAAAACGAACTAGCGATGAAGTTTGTCAATTAAATCTCGAAAAATGTTAAAATTCTTATCAATGAAGGAAAATCGAATGAAAGTAAAATTAATCGCAAATATAATTGCATAATACAATTGAATTATATTTCCCTTTTTCTAAAAAAATTCTTTACAATGAAATCATCGAAACAAATTCATTATTAATATAATCGAAATTCTAGTTCTTTTCGTACCTATCTGTAAACTTTCAAGAAAACAAGGCTTAAATATTTATTACATTTTGAGAAAATTTTTATTATTTTTGTAATTTTCTTTTTTGATCTCTTTCTTTTAATTAAATTTTTGCATTTAGAATTGAATTTGCAATAGAATTGAAAAGAGGATTCGAAAAAAAAACCAAACAAGGTGCAATGCAATCGAAAATTTCTTTTTCGAAGAGTTGATTATTCGAAAAATAAATAGTTTTTTGGAAGAAATGTAGATTTTTTACATTTCCAAAAAAAAATTAGAAACAATGAAAAAAAGAGAATTGTGCAAGTATTTCTGGAATTTTTATAAATATGCAGCAAACGTGATTTTTGAAATTTTCTGTAATTTTTAAAAAATTGTAAAATATGCATAAACATCAGTAGAAAATAATTTTTAAGATGCGAAACAACAAGAGAATAGATCTCACAAGTATCTCTCCGCTCAGGGATAAGCAGCTGGAATTTTGCGATTTCCAATAATCGATACTTTAATGATCTCTCAATTGTTGATTAGAAACGAAAAGAAATTTTTTTTCCGCATTTTTTTCTTTATATTTTTTCTTCTTTAGTTAAAAAATTTTCTTTTTCTGCAAAAATTACAAAAATAAATTTTTAAATCTATTGCTGAACTAGCAAAAAAAAAAAGAACAAATTAGTAAAATTTAATTACTAATTTATTTTTTTCGAAATTAGAGGAAAAATTTAAATTACTAATTTATTTTTTTCGAAATTAGAGGAAAAATTTAAATTACTAATTTATTTTTTTCGAAATTAGAGGAAAAATTCAAAGTACTAATTTATTTTTTCGAAATTAGAGAAAAATTTAAATTACTAATTTATTTTTTTCGAAATTAGAGAAAAGATTTAAAATACTAATTTTTTTTCGAAATTAGAGAACAAATTTAAATTACTAATTTGTTTTTTCCAAATAAGAGTTAAAATTTGAATATTTCTGCTGCAAAAAAAAATTTCCGAAAATAAATAATAAAACTCATATCAAATGCATCGACAAAAAGACTATTATGTAAAACCTCGAAATTTTTCTAAAAAAAAATTATAATTATTATATCGTCCAAAGAAAATTTTGAAATTTAATTTTTTCTGTATTTTTGTACGAATTAATTCAGTTTTTTTCCTCTCTTTTTTCGTTTTTAAATATATAAATATTGAAGAAAAATGGAAGATTAAATGAATTATTGTAAAAAGTCTTCTCTTGTGTATAAATAGCTTGGGAATATAAATGTATAATAATTAAATCGTGTACAGTGGCTACATTTTCGGTATTGTTAGATTTATTTATTACGTAGTTATCATTTTCATTTTTTTTTTTTTTAAATAATTGTTATAAGCGCCTGAAAAATATGATCCAGTATTTTTTTTCCTTTTTTTTAATAATAAATGGTGTCGGTTCGACTGCTAAAAAAAAATCACTGGACCAGTCTCGGAATGCACGAATAGTGTATAAAAACAAAAAAAAAATTAAATACTAGCTAATTAGGTGCGACTATTGTGCAAGGATACATTTACATTTTTTTTTGTTTTTTTTTTTTATTAAATGGACATGAGCCAGCTCGGTATATTATATTAATATACATTCAAAGTTAGCTCATTGCCATTGACCAATAGTGTAATAAGAAAAATTGTCATCTAATTACATTTTTACGCACTTCCAAAAAATTTTTATCCTTGTAATTTGTATCATAGCGACATGTGTTTTAAAAGTCCACCATTATATGTATGTAATCAAAATTGTAACTGAGAAAACGTTAATAAAAAAAACGATATTTCGAACGTTCAAATTGTTTCTTTTATTGAGAGAAAAAAAATTTTGTTTCCCCCGTTCTTTTTTCTTACTTTTTATTTCTTATTTTTATAATTTTTATATTTTGAAAACCGGAAGTAGAGGTGATTTGACTCTTGCAGTGTGAGCGCGCGCATTTAGTTGTCATACCGACCCAACCCTGTTTAATGGGACATCGGCATATAAACAACAATGTTAAAATACGTCAAGTAATTTGCAACTAATTAGCATGTATCTTATCTAATTGTCTTTTACTTGTGTGTCTTGTGTGTTGAGTCTTATTTTTCAATGAGTGGAAAAATATTTCGGTACGGGAAATTTTTACGAACTTTTATTCGGTGGAAAATTGGAAAGCAGCGCCACGTATAGTTTTAGGTTAAGTCATTTAAGTGCAAATCGGAATTAAGTTTCGTCGCGATTTGTCAAGTGCATGGGACTTTTTTTTTCTCGCATTCATATAAGAGAGTTGAATGTGACATTTTAATTGTTAATTAATTTAATCGTGTACATTAATCTGAATATTTTTGGTGATTTGTCGATAATTATTTTCCGATAGTATTCGAATTAGGTATGCGAAAATGTGATGCGAAACTTTGAAGATGAATTCTGAGGATATATATTTAATTTGTCATTTTTAACGTGATGGGATAAATTTTTTCTTATTATCACAATGTTATTTGTACATCTATTGACTTGCTGCGATTAATTAATCGTACAATGGTAAGTTGCTGTGAATTTATTAAATTAGTTAATTTATTTTACCGATGTCAGTTATAACCTCAATTTTGACACTTAATGATATTAAATGCGCTTTTTATTTTCAACTTCGATAAATTCAGTTTTATTTACACTGGAAAAATGTTACGTAAAGAAGATAATTTATTCAGTTTTACAATACCACGCGCTTTTTCTATAAAATTAGTTTTCCTCCTTTTTTTCTCGTTTTTATTATCAAAAGAAAATGTTACAATTTTTATCGCTAATTTTTATTTTCATTAATTTAAACGGAAATTATGTACTAATTTCTTGTATTTTTATTTCCAGGGAGCAAATATATCACAATTGGAAAGAGATATCGGATCTGATCAATTTCCACCAAATGAACACTACTTTGGTTTGGTCAATGTACGAATTTCAATTTATTATTTCTAGAATTTTTTTATTTTATTATATTATTATTTTATTATTAATTAATTATTCTCCGTAAGAATTCAAATTATTTTCATAAATAAGAAAATTCTTCGCAAGAATTAAAATATTAACATAAATAATAAAATTCTTCAAAGAAATTCCATTATTTTCATAAATAATAAAATTTCTCGAAAGAATACAATTATTTTTAAAAATATTATTTAAATTTAATTATTTTCAAGAGTTTTAATAAAAATGCAATTATTTTCAACAATTCTGAGAAAATAAAATTCTTCGAAACAATTCAATTATTTTTAATAAAATTTTAATAAAATTTCTCTAACAGGTTCTTTTCTAAACAATTCAATTGTTCTCAAAAGTTTTTAATAAAATTCTTTTGTAAATTTCAATTATTTTCAAAATTTTCAATTAAAATTCAATTACTTTAAAAATTTTTAGTAAAAAATATTTGAAAAAACGTCATTATTTTCAAGAAAATTGAAATAAATTCTTCAAAACAATTCAATTATTTTAAAGAATTTTAATAAAAAATTTTTAAAGAATTAAATTATTTTTAATGCAATTTTAATTACATTTTCTCGAAAGAATTCAATTATTAAAAAAAAATGTTGATAAAATTCTTAAAATAACTTTGATTATTTTTAAATTTTTTTAATAAATAATACTTTGCAAGAATTCAATGATTTTCAGTATATTTATTTTAAAATTGAAAACATATTAATTGTTAAATTATGAAAACTTTAGTAATTAATGAAAATATATTTTTTTTACAGTTTGGAAACACTTGTTACAGTAATTCTGTACTACAAGCTCTATACTTTTGTCGACCGTTTAGAGAAAAAGTATTAGAATACAAAGCTAGGAATAAACGAACCAAAGAAACATTGCTAACATGTTTAGCCGATCTTTTTTACAGTATCGCAACTCAAAAGAAAAAAGTCGGTTCCATAGCGCCTAAAAAATTCATTGCCAGATTGAGAAAAGAAAAGGGTAAATTTTACTTCGTTAAAGATTAAGGTTACTTTGTATTGAATTTTTATGTTAATTAAATTACAATTTTCTCAATTGCAGAGGAGTTCGATAATTATATGCAACAAGATGCTCACGAATTTCTCAATTTTCTAATAAATCATATAAATGAAATTATTTTAGGTAAGTTGAGTTAGAAAATTATTTTTCATAACATAACTTTGTTAATTTCCAGACATGAATTCTGTTAATAAATTATTTTTATTTATTTTATTAGTCAAAATAATGCTTTTTATAATTTAAAAGTTACTTTTTCAATAAATAAATGTTCATTTAGAATATTTTTCATCTTACTCTGGTAATTTTCAAAAAAATAGAGCATCAAAAAAATATTTTGTTCGCAATTTTTGAAAAATTATTGAATATCAATGAAATGAAAGATATTTTATTTTATTATATTTATCATTATTAAAGATCTGAAATTAAAAAGGAAATTGCTTTATTTTTAGCGGAAAGAAATCAAAGTAAACCGGCCGGAGGTAAAAGTGGGCCCGAAGATGCCGGAACACCACCGGAACCAACTTGGGTTCACGAGATTTTTCAAGGGATTTTAACATCAGAAACTCGCTGCCTTAATTGTGAGACTGTTTCTAGTAAGGATGAGGATTTTTTCGACCTTCAGGTCGACGTTGATCAAAACACCTCAATTACTCATTGTCTGAAATGCTTCTCAAACACTGAGACGCTTTGCAGCGATAATAAATTCAAGTGCGATAACTGTAGCAGTTACCAAGAAGCTCAGGTAATTTATTTTATTTCTATTTAATTTAGTTTCGATTTTTATTTTATTTATTTATTTATTTTATTTTATTTACTTTCTGTAAAATTTTTATTCACTTTTTTAAAGATAATTATCTAAATTCAAAAAGAAAAATTCTTAAATAATTATCAAATAAATTGAAATTTTGTAAAATTAAATTGAAAGTTGTTAAAAATAATAAAAAAATAAATTTAACATAATATTTAAAAATTAAGGTAAATTAAATTCGTTAAAGAATTTTATTAGAAATTTTAATGGAATTTTCAATTAATTTTAATTGAATAATTTTTGGTAAATAATTGAATTCTACAAAGAATGACAATTGAATTTAATTTTGAAAGAATTGCAATTCAAATTTTTCTAATTAGTTCATTTTCAAACGATTGTAATTTGTTTTTAAATTAAAGTTTCAAAAAATGTTATTTAAAATTCTAAAAAATTATGGTTTTAAAATATTCCATGGCTATTTTTCGAAGGTTATTGAATTTTTACAATTAAATGATTGAACATTTTTTAAATAATTAAAATATTCTAGAATTCGAATAAAAATAATTGAATCAGGGAAAAAGATAAATTTATATCTAGAATTCAAGGCAAATTAGATTTTTGTGGCAGCCTTGATAATTTACTTTTTTTATTTGTTTTCTATTTAATTCTTCTTCTATTATTTTTTTATTATTTACTTTAAGGACTTTATTCTTATGTTTTAAAATTAGTTTTAATTTCAATTTTAAAATAATTAAAAATTTTCTTCAATGCAGAAACGTATGAGGGTTAAAAAGCTGCCTATGATTCTGGCTTTGCATTTAAAGAGATTCAAATACGTCGAACAATATAATAGACATATTAAAGTTTCTCATCGAGTGGTATTTCCATTAGAACTTCGACTTTTCAACACAGTGAGTTCGCTTTCGTTTAATATTTAACATTTCTATTATTATAAAATTTTGTTTTTATTTTTTAATCTATTTTGTATTTGAATATTTTTTTCTTCAAATTTTTAGAGTGATGATGCTGTCAATCCAGATCGATTATATGATTTAGTAGCAGTTGTGATACATTGTGGAAGTGGTCCTAATAGAGGACACTACATTTCTATAGTCAAAAGTTATGGATTTTGGCTTCTTTTCGATGATGATATGGTCGACGTAAGTTTTTTTTTTAAAGAAAAAATTCTAGAATTCTGGTTTTATATTCATTTACATTTTGTCACTTATTAATTTTCGTTTATTTATTTATTAAAAAATTTATTAAAGTTCTTATTTAAGAATTTATTTAAGTACTTATTTAAGAATTTATTTAATTTTTTTCAGTTTTTTAAATTCAAAAATCAAAATGTTTCTAATTGTTTTCCGTAGAAAATTGACGCCTCGACGATTGAAGATTTTTATGGATTAACGTCTGATATTCAAAAAAGTTCAGAGACCGGTTACATTTTATTTTACCAGTCGAGGGATTGCAGTTGAGAATTTAAGGAGAAATAAAATAATGGAGGTAAAATTTTTTTTAATCCAAAAAAAAAGAAGTGTGATGTGTAAGTATTCGATAAATGAAAAACGAAGGATTTTCATTTACTTATGAAAAAGAAAATCTTGTACATTCAAGAAAATGATGAAAATCTGAAATTCCTTCTCTCGTTACGATAAATATACATAAATATAAATATATATATAAAACGATCGGCCATTATCGATACGAGAAAAAATAGGTTCGATTATAAAAAGGCTTTAGGTCGATTTTTCTAATTAATTGGATTCTATGAATCTAATAAAAGTTTTCTTTCTTTTTTTTGCTAAAGAGCAATTTACATAATTTTATTATTAATTATTGAATAATCGTGTGTGTACAATTATTTTTTATTTCGCACCAGATGCCAAACATTTTTATGCAAGAAAACAAAAAAAAAAAACTGTAGAAGTCGAGCAAATACAGTTCTATTTAATAATCCAATTTTAAATATTATATTCTCTAATGTGCATTTAGATACTATTCATTTTACACAAAGTGTTTGCAAAGAAAAAGATAAGAAAACAAAGAAAAAAAGAAGAAGAAGAATAAGAATTTTAAGTGACTGCAGAGATTTTAGTAGTTATATAAATGTTGTATGTACAAAACGTAATTGATAAAACAACCTTTTTGTTTTGCGATTGTTGAATATGTTGAGTTTTAAGAATAAAAGTCAAACAATTTTCTTGAATTTGTTTCGTTTAATGTAGAAATTCCTGAGTAAACGTTACTGATAATCACGGACATTTATCAATTTAGAAAGTAATTAATTTAGAGAGATTCTAATTTAATTTTTAAAAAAATTACCAGAAAGGTGATAATGAAAATTCTTTTATTAGAAAAAATTTTGTTTAATTACTGAATTGTTTGAAAAAAAATGAAGTTTGAATGAAATTTGCTTATTAACTATTTTTTTATTTAAAATTAAGTAGTTAATGAATTAATTATGAGACAGATCTTTGACCATTTTCTTGGTCTCCTTCAATTTTTCCACAAATACTCCCATCGCTGCTATTTTCGCTCTTACTATCTTCACTTTCATCGCTCACATCACTTTCTTCACTGTCTTCTTCAGAATTTTTTTCTCCATCCAATACTGAAAATAATTTTCACCATTTGAAAATTTGAATAATATTGTTAAAAAATTATAAATAGAAAAAAATTGGTTCAATTACAACTACTAGTAAATAATTATAAATTTACTAATATTTATTTCTTTTGGTAAATATTAATAACAATTTACATGCGGGTGCCATTTTAGAAAAGAATTAAACGATCTATTAAAAGATTCAATTAGACGTAAATAAAATAAATCAGTGATGAAATATCGTGAATTCTAGATAAAATTATGATTTATTTCCGGGTACGATCTACAGTCACCTTTAATTATCACACACTTTATAAACAATATGAATTTTATTAATTTTGTTTCTTTTTTTCAGTTAATAGAAAGTGAATGAATGGAAAAATTTCAGGAGGAGAATTTTACTACTAAAAGAAAAGGAAACACGTAATTTTTGAGTAAATCTTTTAGTGAAAGAGAAAGAAAAGTGATAATGATAAAAAAATGATAATTAAATAATTGAACGTACTATAATCCCAGGAATTGACGGACTCGAAATAAGCAGAGACGAGAATGTCATTTTCGGGAAATTTCACCCGTCGATTATTTTTCTTCTTGCAAAAGGATATTGAACTCCGCAATAATTTGCCATCGATTAGAATAAATGGCGATGGTGGTGTCACGTCTTTTTTTGTTCCAAATCTTGGAAAATATAATTCATGCGAAATCACTCGCGGTGGAGGAAGAATTTCCTTCTCTTCGATTGATTTTTTGAACTTTCGGGGATGAGTCGCTTTTTTGAAATTCATTTTTTTCTCTCATGACATTTTACAAGAGCGAAAGAAGAAATTTTCTTTTTGTATCCAAAGTTCCTCTTGATAGTTTTTTAAACTTTTGCTTCGTTTTCTTCGTTCTGCTGTTATTTCTTCAATGTTTTTTTTCTCGTATTGTAAATAATTATCTTGATATTATTTAATGAGGCAAGTTCTTCTTTAGTTGTGTACACTACTCGTTTCACAAATGCCATCATTGTCGCTATTCGATGCAAGTGATTAAGAGCTCATGATCTAAGAATAGGGGGTTAGTGACGAAGCTATCGACATCTAAAAGTAAAACTGACTCTTGAGAGTCGAATCAATGGAGTAGGCGACCCGATTTTTATTTTTCTTTTTTATTTATTTTGTATATAGTGGCCTAGACGCTTCTTCTTTTTTTGACAACGTGAAAACAAAGTAAAGGTTGATAAATATACACAAGTTTTTCAATGAACGGAAATAGTTTCCTTATTTCAGAAAATGTGTGAATTTAATTTACTCGATTTTTAGATTTTATTTTCCCAAAATTCAATTTTTAGTCCGAACTTTTCAAAAATTCTTTTTGAAACTTTTTAATTTTTTTGTTTTCAAAGATTTATAACTTCTCTCTTTTCTAATTCCAATTTTGGATAAAAGACCTCCTTTTTTTCATCGTGCCAATTATTTTCTTTTTGGCTCGATTTCAAATATTTTCTTGACACTTCTTTCTATCGCTATTTTTTCTATGTGCCCCAAACCCACCTCAAATGTTCCCCTTTTATTTGCCCCAGAAAATTTTCTCCTCATCCTGGCGAAATAAGAAAAGAGAATTCAACCTGGAAATGTCAGGGAATTTTATAAAACTTGAAAAAACCTGGAAAAGTCGGGGAATTTGAAAAGAGCAAATGCGTGGCAACTCTGAATTCAGTTTCGAGAATTTTATTTTGACCGATAACAATTTTATTTAGTAAAATTACAACATTTTTTCAGTTCTCTTTAGACTAATTGTAAGTTCGTTCAACATTTTAGATTTTCTTTTTGTGTATTAAGTATCTAAACATTTATAGAGATTTTTTTTTTGTTTTTTCTAAAAAAAAGAAAGGGTGTCTCTCATTTTGGCAGTGTTTGCCACATCTTTTTTTTGTGCAGATTTGTGTTTTTTTTCCTCTTTCTCTCTTGAAACATTTTTCCTCCCGTTCACAAAAAATCAGTCTCCGTAACATTTATAAAAATATTAAATTATCAATCAGAGACGAATATTCTGTTTTTTAATAAAAGGAACACATGACATTGACGAAACAATCTGTACATATATATTATTTATATTATTAATATTCATCATCTTTTTCTTGATATAAAAATATTTAATTGATTTTGTCATTCTTATTTTTAATTCTGAAACAAAGTCTTTTATTTTTAATTTATATGGGAAAAGAATTCTATACTTTAATTAATTTTCTTTTTTGACAATTTTAATTAATAACTGAAATTTGGGTATTTTTCATGAATAATTAAATTATTCATAATCAAATTATTTATAATTATTTATAATTGTTTACAACAAAATTCATAACAAAATTATTAATAATAAATTATTTTTAATAAAATTATTTTTAATTGGTACAATTAAATAATAAAAATCTTTTTTTGGAGAAATTTCAGTTTTGAATTATAAAAATGGGAAATTGAAATGTGAATCAAAAAGGAAGTAAAATTAAAAAAAGAGCTTTTTTCAGACAAAACGTGGAAAATAAGAGCCACCCTGAGTTAGGAACCTGGAAAAGATTTTTTTCTCTCTGTGTTTTTTTTTCGCTACTTAAACGACCAGATGGGAAACATCCAAGGTGTAAGCTGCCGGAGATAATCTGATATCATCAGAACGAGGTCTTTGGCGAATGTCGTTGTCACCTGGCCAGGCTCTTCCTGGACTTCGTAGCAAAATATTGGACCTTGAGACAGCATCCACCGCGAGACTCACAGTCACAGGATCATTGAGTCCATTACTTTGGATTTGACGTTGAGCCGCTATTGACGCTCTCAGCGATTTTCTCTTCTGAAAAATAATTATTTTTTTGGCTGAATTTTAAAAATTCTTAGTCAATTTTTAAATTTATTTTTTTTTTAGATGAATTTGGCAAATTTCTATCAATGAAGGTATTTTAATTTGAAATTATTTATTTTTAACTCTTTTGAATAGTGACAATTGTTTTTACAAAAATTTATTTTATACTCTTTCGAATAGTGACAATTGTTTTTAGAAAAAATTTATTTTATACTCTTTCGAATAGTGACAATTGTTTTTACAAAAAATTTATTTTATACTCTTTTGAAAAGTGACAAATTTTTATTTACAAAAGAAAATTTATTTTCTACTCTTTTTGAATAGGGTGACAATATTGTTTTTCTAAAATTTATAATTTATTTTTTTTATTATAGATTTACCTCTATCTGGCCTCGCCATTTATCAGCAGCGTGTCTGGCTATTTCGAGTTTCTTCTGTTTTTTTATTTGATGCTTTTTATAAGCCATTTCGATAATAATGAGGCCTATACCGCCCACGATTCCAGCTCCGACCAATATAAATACTCCGGCCATATTTTTTAAACCAAGAGTGTTGGGAGTTTTTTCAAGGGCATCGCACTGTTGCTGATAACCTTGCATAATCCATTTTAAATCGAGACTCTCCATGAAGCCGCCTATCGAAAATAGAATATTCAGTTTATTAATAATCCACATGGGGGAAATTAATGCTTAAAAAAAATTAGTTTCTATCTAATTTTTTTAGGTAATTTTTGAAAATTTAATTCAATTATTGAATAATTTATGGGCATTTAGGGAAATAGTTATTTCAGGATTGCCACAAAAATTTAATTTTGTTTTTTTCTGAATCTAGAATCTAGAATATTCTTAATACACTTATTTGCGAATTTCTTTAATTGTAAAATTATTCGAAAACATCAATAGCTTTATTTAAAATAAATATTTAATCATTATTTTTCCACAGGAATTAAAGATTATAAATAATTTAAAATTCACTTTTTGAAATTCAAAAACTTTGATAAAAATATTGTTACTGTAACTTCTTCAAAATTACTTTCATCATTTTAATTCAATTATTATTTTCTAGAATATTTTTAACTAAAATTCTTCTTTAAATCAATTATTTTTAATAATTTTCAAAAAAATTCTCTGAGAATGTGTTACATTTTTTTTGTTACATTTGTTTACAATTCATTTCACCTGAAATTTTGATTATTCATAAATTCTTCAATTAAATAAATGATTAGAAAATAAAAACGTCAAATAATTTCAAAAATTTTTAATTAATGTTTTTCAAAAAAAAAATTCGTTTGACAGTTAATTTAAAGTAGGAAAAATTTAGATTTTTGAAGATTTTTATTCAAAACTTTTTCAGAATTAAATTATTTTTTTTTAGAATTTTACTAAAATTCTTCTGCAAATCAATTATTTTTATTAATTACATAATTTATAATTAAATATAATATTAAAAAATTCAACTAATTTCAACAGAATTAGAATTAACATTTTTCAAAAAATTAGTGGTACAGGATTTTTAATTAAAAGCATGAAAAATTTAGATTTTCAAAGAATTTAATTTCAAACTTTTTCAAAATTTAATAATTTCTAAAAATCTATCCTTATAATGCTTCTATTATTCAATTATTAATAATTATTATAATTTTTACTGAAATTCATTTTTAAATTAATTTTTATTTGAAAATTTTATTTTTATATTCAATTCTTTAAATAAAAAATTCAATAATTTATTGAATAATTAAATTATTTCTATGAATTTAAATAAAATTTTTATAAATAATTGTATTTTTGTGAAGAATTAATAAAAAAATTATATTAAAAATAATTGACATTCTGCGATTAGTTTTATTATTTTTGAAAATAATTGAATTCCTAAAAGAAATTTTATTATTTATAAAAATAATTGAATCGCTGAGAAGAATTATAATATTTATGAAAATAATTTAATTCTTGCGAAGAATTTTATTAAAATTCTCTAAATAATTAAATTCGAGTAAAAAATTTTATTATTTATGGAAATAATTGAATTTTGGATGAATTTTATGAATTTTTTTCAATAATTAAATTCTTTTCGTAAATTTTTTTAAAATAGTAAGTAGATATTGAAAATTATTGAAATGCGAAAAAGTTTTGAAAATAATTGAAAATTTGACAAGAATTTTATTAAAATTTTGAAAATAATTGAATTTTGTCGAAGAATTTTGCTGTTTATAAAGATAACTGAATTCTTGATGAGAATTTTGTTAAAATTTTTAAAAATAATTTAATTTTTGAAATGAATAATTGTTATTTATAAAAATAATTGAATTTTAGCGAAGAATTTTTCTGATTATAAAGATAATTTAAATCTTGACGAGAATTTCGTTAAAATTTTAAAAAATAATTGATTTTTTTCAATGAATATTGTTATTTATAAAAATAATTGAATTTTGTAAAGAATTTTATTAAAATTCCTGAAAATAATTGAATTTCTGGGAAGAGTTTTGTTACTTATGTGTTAAAACCTTGGAATATTAAAAAATCAATTACTGTCAGAAATAGAAAAAATTGAATATTTTGTATTGGAATTCGTGGTAATTAGTAATTTTATAGTTTTGGAAAAAATCACAAAAATTCAGAATAGTATCTTATTAATTCGAAATATTTAATTTTCTTCCATCACTTTTAATATAATTCCCTGATTTTCTTGACTTGTGGCAACCCTGAATTATTTATACTTTTTGTTATTCGATAAAGTAAAAAATAATTGTTTTTAATTTTTTTTAATAACACTGTTTAATAATTAGTTTTAACTATTCTTTTTAATTATTCTTTTTAATCAATATTTTCCACTTTTCTTGTTAATTATTCATTTAAAAATTATTTTTAACTATTCTTTTTAATTCTTTTTTATTATTCGTTTCAAATTGTTAAATTGTTAGTTAATTTTCAATTTGAAACATTTTAAAAATTTTCTTTCAAAAGTTTTTCATTTTTAAAATTGAGAAATAGTTTTCATTTCAAATAGAAAGTTTTCCTTTTTTAAAAATTGAGAAGTAGGGGAAAAGTTAAGTTTTCTTTCTTTCGAATAGAAAAAGTATTTCCTTTTTTAAAAATTGAGAAGAGAAGGGGAAATTCTCAAATTAGCTAAATTCGAAAAGGCATTTTTCTATATGATTCGATCTTGAGAATTCATGTTCAATTTTCTTCTTATTATTGATCCTTACTTTCATGAAAATCCAATATAGCTAGAGTCACATGATCTGCCCACGGAGATCCTTTCTGTAAACCAATACCATAGCCAGACCTTCCGAACAATTCTCCGGCAGTGACCAATTCACAATCCTGAGCTGCCTCAAATTCCAATCGAGAACTGTCCCAGATAAACGCCATCAACTTACTGAAATCAATAAAATTTGCATTGTTATTGATTTTCCTGGCATTCTTTCTTTTTTTTTCATTTTGCATTTTGTATTAAAAAAAGAGGAATTTTTACTCTCCAACCATTTTTCTTCCAAAAAGATAAAAAAAAGACGAAAAGTTGTCTCCAAACACTTCTTTGAATTATGGAAAATAGAGAACAATTTGCAGTTAAAAGAGAAAAGAATTAAAATTTTTAAATAAATAATTAATAATTAATATATCAGGGTTGCCACTCCTTCGCATAAATTCAATTATGTTCAAAAATTATTTAAAACTCTCGTCAAAATTTCAATTATCTTTATAAATAATAAAATTCTTCTCCGAAATTCAATTATTTTCAAAAAAATTTAATAAAATTCTTGGCAAAATTTTAATTATTTTCATAAATTTTCCTCATTTCAATTATTTATAATATCTACTATTTTAATAAAATTTTCCAAAAGAATTCAATTATTAAAAAAAAATTTTATTAAAAATTTTACAGGAATTCAATTACTTATCAATTTTTTTATAAATTTCTTCGCACCAATTCAATTATTTTTAATTTTTTAAAGAAGTTTCTCAAAGGAATTGAAATATATTCAGAAAATTAAAAAAAAAAATAGTTCTGAGAAATTCAATTATTTCGAAAAATTTAAATAAACTTGTTTTAAAAATTCTATTATTTAAAAAAATGTTGACAAAATTCTTGACAAGATTTAACGAATAAAATTGCAATTTTAATAAAAATTTCCTATAGAATTTAATTATTTTCAATACAATTCTTTTTAAAAATTCAATTATTTTCACAAATAATCAATTTTTTTTATGGGAATTCAATTATTTAAAAAAATTTGAATAAAATTCTTTACAAGAAATTAATTATTTTCATAAATAATTAAAATTCATAATAAAATTTTTCTCGAGAATTCAATTATTAAAAAAATGTGAATAAAATTCTTAAGGGCATTTGAACCATTATGACGTGACAGTTTTGCAAAGTATGTGTTCTAAAGTGTGACGTCATCAATGGTTCAAATGCCCTTAACAAGAAATTAATTATTTTCATAAATAATAAAAATATTTTTCTCCGGAATTCAATTATTTTCATAAATAAAATTCTTCACAGAAAGAATTTTAATTTTTTTTTAAATAATGAAGTTTCTTTAATAATTTTAATTTAAAATTTTGAAAGTAATTTAATTTTATAAACAATTTTTTTCAAGTTTTTGAAATAATAGTGTTTTCTTAATAATTGAAATTAAACATTTAATTATTGAATTTTATTAAAATTTTTAGAAAATAATTCAATTCTTTTCAGAATTTTATTAAAATTTTCTAAAATAATTTATTCATTAAAGGATTTTTATTAAAATATAGAAAATAATTAAATTCTTTCAAAGAATAAATACTGCTAAAGGTTTTTATTTAGAGTTTTTGTAAATAATTAAATTTCTTTGATGAATTTCTTTGTCCTTTTTTAAATAATGTAGTTTTTTGAATAATTTCAATTGGAAATTTTGAAAATAATTGAATTAAACAAAGAATTTTTTAAACTTTTTAAAATAATTTTTGCGATGAATTTTAATTCGAAAAATAAATTCTTGTCAAGAAATCTGGACAAGAATTTATTTTAAATTTTGGAAAATAATTGAAATTTTGTAAAGAATTCAATTATTTATGAAAGAAATTGAATTGAATTTCAAATTTTTGAAAAAAATTATAATCCTACGAAGAATGTTATTATTTATGAAAATAATTGAAATCTTCCAAAGAATTTTATTTTTTATGATGATAATTAAATTTTTGCGTAGAATTTTATTAAAATTTTTTTGAAAATAATTGAAATCCTTTGGGAAATTTGATTATTTATGAAAATAATTCAATTATTTTCACAAATAATATTCTTCACAGTAATTTAATTCTTTAAAAAAGATTTTAATAAAATATTATTTTTAAAAATTTTTCATAAAATTCTTCATAAAAATTCAATTTTAAGAAACATTCAATTATTTAATAAATTTATTTTTGTATTTAAATAATTGAATTCTCTTTGAATTTTTTAATAAAAAGTTGTTTGAAAATGAATTTTAGTTCAAATTTTATAGATAATATTTTTTCGAAAATCTAATAATTTTTGGAGTGAATCAGAATAATCATCAGGGTGAGGGAAAAAGTCAAAAAAATTTTCTGGAAATCAGTGAAAAGTCAGGGATAAAATCAAAATAATTTTCAGGGTCTGGAAAAAAGTAAAATTTTTTTTCTGGAAATCAGGGAAAAAGAAAATTAAATTTTTGTGGCAACCCTGCACATTAAAATAAAAAAATTGGAAAATTTTGATTGAAATATTATTTTTGAATTTACAGACCCAACTTTAACATCTTGAATGGCGTCTTCGGCTGTATTGTAATTATTGGCTTCCATTGTTCGATACATGTTCGAAAGTTCCACTTGTCTTCTAAAGTACATGTCGACTGCGGATCCTTTAACAGTGGCGCATGTTAAATTTTCCATCGTGTTTCTAAGCTGTTGAAATACACCATGATAAATTATTGTTGTGCAAAACATAAATTTCATTTTGATGGAAAATGATGAGATTCGTTACGGGGAAAATACTATAAATTATTGGTTCGTAACTCTCCGTTGCGCACCAATAAAACATTTCATATGTATACCATGTGAAATTTTGGTCAGGTCACTGGACAACCAAATCCGGCTTTATCTCCCTGATTAATATAAATTACACTCGGTGATCTATTTCTGTGTTGGTTCACATATTTTTGTTTTTGTTTTTTTTGTTTTTTGTTTATTCCTTCCGTTTCAATTTAAATTGAACTTTAATATTTGAAATCGTGAATATACAAATTTTGTCACTCTGAATATGTTACATTTTATTGATTAATTTATATTTCTTTTTTTTTTTTTTTAATGAAATTCTTTTTTCGACCCAGAAATTTAGTTGACAATTTTTCAAATTGAGGAATTTTTCTTTTCTATTTTTTAATATCCTATGAAATGGAAAAATATTTGAGATATTTCTTTTTCTTCTTTAAATTGGAAAAAAGAATTTAATTTCAGAATTTAGAGAATAAAAAGAAATAAAAAAAAGAAAAGTAAAGAATATATTTTTTGAAAAATAGACGATAGACTTTAGAAAAAAAAGTTTAGTTTTTTGTTTTAGGAAAAAAGGTAGAAAATAAAGTTTTCTTTTCTGGGGGGAAAAAATTTGACAAACGTGTTAGGTGGGGAAAATATTTGAAAATGAAAATAATTTTTCGTTAAACTCACTCGAGCGTCGTTGATTCCACTTAATTTAGTTTTGGGTCGTTCCAAAACGAGGAAGGCTGCCAAGTTGGCAGTGTACGAAGCTACAATAATCATTGCAAATCCAGCCCAAACCATTCCCAAAACTCGAGCTGAGAAACTGCGGGGTGTACCTTAAGCAGGAACAATGCAATTCGAACAATTTAATTTTATATTTCTCATTTACATTCAATTTATTATTCTCTCCTCTTTAGGGGAGTTTTGATCCTTTTTATTATTATAATAATTAGTGAGGCGAATTCTCGAAAGTTTTCTCAAAAAGTAAATTTAACAGTAATGTTAGAAAATGTTATACTAAATTTATTTTTTTGTATTTTATTATTAATAACAACAGTAGTAGTAGTAATAAAATGATAATAATAATAAATTGAAAATTATATGAAATTGATGCCAAAAAAATTTAAACAGCATTTTCTTCTTCATAGTGATAATAAAATTTGGAAACTATTTTATTTAAGTACCTAAATTAATTTATTCTTAAATGTTATTCATTTAATTGAAAATTAATTCTTTATAAATATATTTATAAAATATATTTATAATATAAATAAATATATTTGTTGAATTTAACAAAAAATTAATTTTAAAGAATTAATTAATTTAAAAAATTATGTATCTTAAATAAATTCAAAAAATTGAATAAGCATTAGCATTAATTTTAAAATATAAACTTGTATAATTACAAATTTATTACTTATTTTAAAATTTCAATTTTACTATTTTTTATTCTTTGTACTTTCAATTTTTAATTTTTATTTATTTTCCATTTAGTTCACTTCTAATTTTTGAATTTTATTCATATTCTATTTAATTTACTTTCAATTTTTGAATTCCATTTATTTTCTATTTTTGAAATTTTAAACAATTTTTATTTATATTTAAATAGAAATAGAATTCAGAAATCATTTAATTTTATTAAAATTTTCAGAAAGTAATTCAATTCTTCTCAGAATTCTATTACAATTTTCTAAAATAATTTATACATTCAAGGAATTTTATTAAAATATAGAAAAAAATTAAATTCTTTCAAAGAATAGATACTATTAAAGGTTTTTATTAGAGTTTTTGTAAATAATTAAATTTTTTTAAAGAATTTTTGTGTGCTAAATAATTTAGTTTTTTGAATAATTTCAATTGAAAATTTTGAAAATAATTGAATTAAACAAAAAATTTTCTCAACCTTTTAAATTAATTTTTGAAAATAATTTTTGCAAAGAATTTTACTTCGAAAGAATTTCTTGACAAGAATTTATTTCAAATTTTTAAAAATAATTGAAATTTCATAAAGAATTCAATTAGAAAAAATTGAATTCTTGACAAGAATTTTTTTCCAATTTTTAAAAATAATTGAAATCCTCGGAAGAATTTTATTATTAATAAAAATAATTGAAATCTTAAAAAGAATTTTATTTTTTATAATGATAATTGAATTCTTGTGAAGAATTTTATGAAATTTTTTAAAAATAATTGATTTAGTTTTTTGAATAATTTCAATTAAAAATTTTGAAAATAATTGAATTAAACAAAGAATTTTTTCGACCTTTTAAATTAATTTTCAAAATAATTTTAGCAAAGAATTTTACTTCAAAAGAATTTCTTGACAAGAATTTGATTCAAATTTTTGAAAATAATTGAAATCTTCGATAGAATTTTTTTTTTATTATGATAATTGAATTCTTGTGAAGAATTTTAGTAAAATTTTTGAAAATAATTGAAATCCTCTGAAAAATTTTATTATTTATGAAAATAATTGAAATCTTCCAAAGATTTTTATTAAAATTTTTGAAAAATAATAAAATTGTTTCCATGAAAATTTTAATACTTTGTAGGAATTTAGTTAAAATTGTATTGAAAATAATGGAATATTTAGGTAGAATTTTATTAAAGTTTTAGAAAATAATTGAAAAATTCCAAAGAATTTTATTTTTTATGATAGTTGAATTCTTGTGAAGAATTTTTTATTAAATTTTTTGAAAATAATTGAAATCCTTTGAAAAATTTTATTATTTATGAAAATAATTGAAATCTTGCAAAGATTTCTACTTTTTTTAAAGACAAGTGAATTTTTGCGAAAAATTTCATTGAAATTTTTAAAATAATTTGAATCCTTTGAAAAATTTTAATAATTGAAATTTTCCAAAGAATTTTATTTTTTGTGATATTTTGTGATATTTTTTAACGAATCAAGAAAAAAATTGAATTCTTTCGTGAAATGTAATGATAATAATTGACGTTTTGCAGAAAATTTTATTATATTAATGAAAAAGTTTGCTAGTATATATATAATTTATAAAAATGTTAATTAGTTTAAATTAATTATTCAATTAAAAAATAATTTAAAGTAATTAATTAATTTTAAGTAAGTGAAAAAAAATTTAAATTATTCAAATTAAATAATTTTTTATGAACTTTATTATAATTTACGTAATTAATTTTAAATCTCCTAAAATTGTTAATTAATTTAAGGAAAGTTAATACTTTCTTCAATATTTAAATATTATATTTAAATTGAAAATATTTTTTTTTCAAATTAAGTACAAAATTCCGAATATTTATTAAGTTTATTGCTTTTTTTTCTACTTTTTTTTCGTACGTTTGGGAAAGATTTAACAATATTTTTTCTACCTTCTCCAATTCCACTGTTGAGTAATACTCCCCAAGCGAACCAAATTGCACTGGATAAATTAAGGGCATCTTCTTCAGTTCCGTCCGTATTGGCTAATTTAAATCTTCCAAATGGAGAGAAACGATCTAAGAGATAAAGAACCAATGCCACAACGTGCACTGATACCATTACCAAAATCCACAATGTATTGCTGAATGGTTGCAAAAAAGATACCAAAGTCGATGACCTGGACGGCTGAAATATTAAAAAAAAAAAATCATTAAATTAATAAAATAATAATTATTAATTTTTTCCTAAAAAAAATTTTTAATTTTTATTCAGTAGGGGAACATAGTCTAGGTCGGCCACCTTTTTGACTTTTGTTTATAACTTTTTTTTAAAAATGAATTTGGACAATTGAAGTATATGGTTGGAAAGTCCTGTTTAATAGGAACATTTTTTCTGTACAAAGTAAATTGACAGGTTTAAAAATGAAAAAGTTATAAAGATTTAAAAAAAAAAAAATTTGTAGTCCAGGTTGGCCATTACAGTCAAGGTCGGCCATGTTTAAAATTCAAAGGGCATTAATCGTTAAAAAATAAAATGACATGTTTAGAGTTACGGAAAATTGATTCTTTATTGTTTACAGTTTGTAACTTAATGAAATAACAAAATAATAACAATAAACAATATAAAAAAATAAATATAAATAAAAAAAATTTTTGCACTAAAATATTAATAAAATTAAATAAAAATATTAATAAGATGATTAATTATATTATGAGTTATACAGAATTGCAGTTTTTGCAAATGAAGTAGCTCGTCCTCAACTTTGCGCATTTTAAACACATAGTGGCCGACCTTGACAGTAAGTAACATTACCGAATTGTTGTAACCATAAAGAAATACGTTTCGGGATTCGATTTTTTACTTTGTTTTCCTTTCAACCATGAGTCCCACAAATTTTCTGCATACTTGCCTTGACGATTCAATTTGTTTTTTATCTTTTATTAATGGTTTTTCACATTATGCACAAAACTTTTTTTGAGCTTTTTTTGTACCGACGTCACAGAAAACACAATTTTCGATTTTCCGAAAATGTAATTGAACAAAAAGTTAGGTTTCACTAAGACAAGCTTCGACAAAAATGCGCGTAGGTGGCGCTAGTGAACTTGACAAAAAAACGCGAGTGGCCTACCTAGACAGTAGGCCAACCTTGACTACATTCCCCTAGTTAAAAGAGGAAAAAATCTACTTAAATAAAATATTTTTTTATTATTCTTAAACTGTAATTTATTTGTTTAGTTAACAAAATTTATTAATTTAAATTATAACTTTTATTATTATGATTTTTATTATTATTTAATTTGTTAGTTATTATTATTTTTACTTTTTTGTTAATTATTATTATTTTATTTTTTTGTTAATTATTATTATTTTTATTTTTTGTTAGTTTAAAAATAAATTTACATTTATTAAGGTACATTATTATCAATGTAAAAATGTATTCTCAAAATCTGATATTTTCATCAGGCAAAATAAAATTTCGTATAGCATAAATTAAAAAGAAATATTCTTTGTGGCGAATAATAAAAAAATTGCATTATAGAGAAAAATTTGCAAAAATACCTTCTTTTCAAGAATGGTAATTCCTTGGTACTTGAAGGGTTTGCTAAATTCAATAAATTCAGCACGTTCTGGATTAATTGTTAGGGGAGCCACAATCATATCAGCACGTTCATTAACAATCTCACCAATGAGACCGGTCCACTCCTTCTTCCCTCCAACTGTGTTTAATTGAATAAAATTTTGTTTTATTCCCTAATTACTAATTTGCTTGATAGGTATATTGAGAAAATTGAATTTGACAATTATTAAATTATTTAACTCTTACGTGAGCTATTTCGAACTGAATAACTGCCAAACAATCCGTCCGGCGATAGAGCGAGACTATAAGTGAAATTTATCGTTTTCGATAATTCTTTCAATAAATCCATGCAGTATCCTTTACAGCAAAACATTCGATGATCTGAAATAGATAAAGGAAAATTGATTTTGTATTTTTTATTTATAAAAAATTTTTTTTTTTAATTTTTATATAAAAAAAAATTTTTTTTGGTAATTTTTTTTGTCGTATATTTGATTTAATAAACATTTTTATTAATAAATATAAGTTTATATTAATAAATATAAAATCAATCTATTAATTCAAGTGAATAGAAATAAATAAATAGAAAAAATAAATAAATAATAAAAAAAATACTAAATAGAATTCTCGTTATTTTTAGTTCAACTTTTAATTTCGTTAATTTTATATTAAAAAATAAAAATTTTCATTTATCAATAAATATAAACGAATATTGATATTAACAGCAAAAAACTTTTATTAATAATATTAATATTACTACAATATTGTTATTATAATATTATATTTCATAATTATATTTTCAATTATTTTTCATAAATAATAAAATTTTTCAAAGGATTTCAATTATTATTTTCTAAAATTTTAATAAAAAATTACTCACAAGAATTCAATTATCATAAAAAATAAAATTCTTTGGAATTTTTCAATTATTTTCTAAAATTCTAATAAAAATCTTTGCAAGATTTCAATTATTTTCAAAAATTTTAATATAATACTTCACAAGAATTCAATTTTCATCAGAAAAAATAAAATTCTTTGCAAGACTTCAATCCTTTTTATAAATAATAAAATTTTTCAAAGGATTTCAATTATTTTCAGAAATTTTAATAAAATTCTGAGATCTCAAAATTCTCAGCAAAATTCAATTTTCATCATAAAAAAATAAAATTCTTTGAAAGATTACAATTATTTTTATAAATAATTATTTTTCAAAGGATTTCAATTATTTAAAAAAATTTTAAATTCAATTCAATTTTTTTCATAAATAATTGAATTCTTTATAAAATTTCAATTATTTTCAAAAATTTGAAATAAATTCTTGTCAAAAAATCCTTTCCAAGTAAAATTCTTCGCAAAAATTATTTTGAAAATTAATTTTAGAAGGTTGTCAAAATTTTTTGTTTAATTCAATTATTTTCAAAATTTTCAATTGAAATTATTCAAAAAACTAAATTATTTCAAAAAACACACAAAAATTCTTCAAAAATATTTAATTATTTACAAAAACTCTAATAAAACCCTTTAATAGTATCTATTCTTTGAAATGATTTAATTATTTTCTATATTTTAATAAAATTCCTTGAATATGAAAAAATTATTTAGAAAATTTTAATAAAATTCTACCTAAATATTCAATTATTTTGAATACAATCTTAACTAAATTCCTACAAAGTATTAAAATTTTCATGGAAACAATTTTATTATTTTTCAAAAATTTTAATAAAAATCTTTGCAAAATTTCAATTATTTTCATAATTGATAAAATTTTTCAAAAGATTTCAATTATTTTCAAAAATTTTAATAAAATTCTTCGCAAGAATTCAATTTTCATCATAAAAAATAAAATTCTTTGGATGATTTCAATTATTTTCTTAAATAATAATATTTTTCAAAGGATTTCAATTATTTTCAAAAATTTTACTAAAATTCTTCGCAAGAATTCAGTTTTCATCATAAAAAATAAAATTCTTTGATAGATTTCAATTATTTTTATAAATAATAAAATTTTACAAAGGATTTGAATTATTTTTAAAAATTTTCATAAAATTCTTCACAAGAATTCAATTATCATCATAAAAAATAAAATTGTTTCGAAGATTTCAATTATTTTCATTAATAATAAAATTCTTCGGAGGATTTAAATTATTTTCAAAAATTTGAAACAAATTCTTGTCAAGAATTCAAATTTTTTTTTTCATAAATAATTGAATTCTTTATAAAATTTCAATTATTTTCAAAAATTTGAAATAAATTTTTGTCAAGGAATCCTTTCGAAGTAAAATTCTTCGCAAAAATTATTTTGAACATTATTTTAAAAAGTTGAAAAAATTCTTTGTTTAATTCAATTATTTTCAAAATTTACTATTGAAATTATTCAAAAAAATAAATTATTTAAAAAAACATAAAATTCATAATTTTTATTGATTAAAATTTTTTTTGAATGAATTATTATTTAAATTGATTATTGAAGATAAATTTTTATTATAATAAAATATAAAAGTTATTTTCGAAAAATTGATTAAACTCTCACCCTTGCTGTCATCGACATTAAAATGAGGACATGGTATTTCATCAACTTGACAATCATTGTCAGTTGTTTCTCGTACATAGACAAACGGTTTTTCTTCAATTGTCAAAACTTTTAAATGCGTTGGAATCATAAATCCTTCTGGCTTTGTTCTCAAGTGTCCCGGCCAAATAATATTTGACTCATTTAGTTTCAATTTCATTTTACTGGCATTCTGTGAAAAAAAAATGAAATTTTTTATTTTTAAACTTAAAAATTATTAAAATTATATAATTAATTAGATGTTTAATAATTGTTAATTTATTAATTTACAATTATTTATCGCACATATATTTAGAATTTAAATTTTATCGCAGTGATTTTAACGATAATATTTATTTGAAAATTTAAATGGTAATTAATTTTTAAATGTAAATTATAATATTATAAAGAAGGGAATTTTATTAATTTCTTTCTTAAGTTGATATTTTATTATTTTTTGTTCAATTTATCTTTTATTTGATGAATTTTAATTATTGGCCTGCAGTTAATTTAGTTTTACTTTCTGAATTTTATTTATTTTTTTACATTCAATTTTTTTACATCTTTACTTTCTGAATTTTATTTATTTTTTTACATTTAATTTATCTTTACTTATTGAATTTTATTTATTTTCTGCAATTAATTTATTTTTACTTGACAAATTTTATTTGTTTTCTTCATTTAATTTATTTTTAATTTCCGAAATTTAATTATTTTCTGCAATTTATTTTGAATTTTATTTATTTTTATATTAAATTATATTTCAATTTTTGTGTTTTATTTTCCTCATGTTTAATTTATTTTCAATTTTTGAACACTATTAATTTAATTAAATTAAGTGTAGAAAATAAATGTAGCAAAAAATTAAAAATTTATTGTTTAGTTTCAAAATTATTGTTTTTTACATTTTGAGCAGGACTTACGGCATTATAAAAGTATTGTCCAACAGAAACATTTTTATAATTTCTCTGAATATTAACAATGTCATATTCGGCAAAAATTCTATCTCCATTATCGTCAAAAGCCACTCGTCCAGTCGCTCCATTTTCAAGGACTTGTCGTCTTATATAACTGAAATTTTTTTTTTAGTGATTAGCAGTAAAAAATGAAATTTTAATTTTTTAAAAATAAAAAGCAGTAAAAAAAATGAAATTTTAATTTTTTAAAAACAAAAAGCAATAAAAAAAATTAGAAGTTTAACTATATTTTAAATATTATTAGAGAAACAAATTAAGGTTTTAATTTTCTTAGTCATTGTCATCAGCAGTAAAAAAATTTAAAATAATAATTTATAATTATAATTTATATTTTTATACATATATAAAAAATGAAATCTCACTCGAAAAGCAGTTTTCCAGTTTCCCAAATTGATCCAGAATTATCACAGTCATGAGGTGCTTCAGTTATATTTTCTGTTTCATTCATATCCCTTAGCGCTGAAACCAGGACGTATCTATCCGAACAATTTCAATTAAAATAATTTTTATTAAAAAGAGATTATATTAATTTTCAAATGTTTCATATCGAACATCAAAAAAGGGATGAAAGTTTTCCATTAAATTAAAAGTCAGTTTTTAGGAGATTTTTTTTTTTTTTTTTTTTTGCTTTCCATCTATAGAGAGATATAAATAATATTTTTAAAGGCATTTAGAAAATTAAAAAATTTAATTAAAGAAAAAAATTGTAGTTTTATTTGAGAAAGATTCTTATTTTCTCTAAAAAAAGTATTTGTCTATTCTCTTTTCATTTAAAAATCTTTCCTTGATGTCCAAATTTTTCGTATAAAGTGAAAATAATTATGTGAACGTAATTTTTATTTTTGTTAAAATTTCTTCTTGAAAAATAACTTTTATTGAAATGATAAAGAAAAAAAATTAAAATTCTAAATAATTTCGAAATATTAAAAATTTATTTAAAATAATTTTCATCAAATTATTTATAATCAATGTTATTCGTAAGTTAGAATAAATCTTGTTATTAACGTAAATTATTTGAAATGAATTTTTTTTAATAAATTATTCGGAATAAAATTTTTTAATAAATTACTTCAGATTAAATTTTATCAACACTTTAATTTAGAATGAACTTTAATAATACGTAAATGAATTAAAAATAAATTTTATTAATATAAAAAGCCGTATTCTATAAAAAAAAATCGAAATTTAAAAGAAGTAAAAATTATAAAATAAAATCCAATTTTTATCTTCTTTTTAATTTCCATTTAATTAATTAAATATATAAATTCGAAAAGTAAACGACGTCAAAATATTCCTTTCGCTGATAAAAAGTTAAATTAATTAAAATTTTGTTTGTAATTATGTTAAATTTTGAAAAAAAAATTGTCAATAAGAAAAAAAAACAAAAAAAAAATGAAAGAAAAATAAAGAGAAAAAAAGAAAAAGAAAAATTCAAGTAATAAATGTAAAAAATATATTTAAAAAAATGTTCGTTCTAGAAAAAAGAACGTACAAACTATCTTTGATATGAGTCTTTTCATCAGTAGCGTTGATTAGTTTGAGTCCCAGAAGACCTTCAGGCGCATTAGGAGTCTCCAAAGCTTGTTCAGTTACAATCCATACATATCCCGCTCCTGTCATGTTTAATGCCGCAGCATCTCTGAATATTACTGCAGCATCCTTTTTGCTAAAGATAATTAATCATATTTTGTATTAAATTTTCATGCTGAGAGAGAAAGAGGATCTTCTATTTTCCTTTGTATTTTAAACACTATGTAGTTTTACTCCCTATTTTCAAATACATGAGTTGTAAATTTTAATTAAATTTATAAAGAAAATAATTTTTTATATTTTTGTATATAAAATATTATTTGGAATGTTAAAGATTATTTTCTTCGATAAACTTTAATTAGATTTTATATACATAAAATATTTTTTTTATTTTTTTTGGAAAATAAAATATAATTTGGAATTTCTTCAGTACACGGAAAAAAAAATTTATTTGATTCAAATAATCGATTAATTGACTTGAATTATTATCAATTAAATATTTTCTTGAATCAAATAATATTTATTGGAGTCAATTAAAATGGTATTTGAATCAATAATTTCAGTTTTTGAAGCAAATATGAATTAAACCATTTAATTGACTCCAATAAATATTATTTGATTCAAGTAAATATTTAATTGATAATATAGTCAATTAATCGATTATTTGAGTCAAATAATTTTTTTTAGTGTAAACTTTAATTAGATTTGTATATAAAATATTTTTTAAAAATTTTTAGTATAAAATATTATTTGGAATTTTAAACATTATTTTCTTCAGTTTATTCACCTTGAATACATGAGGAAAACTCTCGCTTGGGCACTTTTCATGTAAATAAGTTGTTCGGTAAAACTTTCCAAACCGGGTTCGAATTCCATAACTGATTCAACCTTTAAAAAAAATTCACTTCTTTTAGAATCGAATTTTTTTCCCCTTTTGCGAAGATATTCGATAATTTAGACAAATTATTATTAGAAAAAAATTATTATTAAATTATTATTATTATTAGACAAATTTAGCAGTAGAGAAATTTTCAAAAAAAAAAAGAAAATTATAATTAATTAATATTAAATATTAAACAAGGAAAATAATAATTTTTTAATTATAAAATGTTAATAAATTAATCTAAAATTAAAGAAATTATTCGAAAAATAATCTTAAATCAAAGAAAATAGTCTGGAAATATTTTTTCATTAAAGAAAACTTTCGAAAAATATTCTTAAATTTAAGAAGACATTCGAAAAATATCCTTAAATAAAAAAAAAATAGTCTGAAAATATTCTTCAATTAAGAAAATATTTGGAATATATTTTTTTAAGGTAAAAGAATTTTCTGAAAATATTACTTAATTTTAAAAATATTTTTTATTTAAAGAAAATATTAGGTAAATATACTTCAATAGAAAATATTCGGAAAATATTTTTAAATTAAAGAAAATTTACCTAAAATATTCGAAAAATATTTTTAAATCACAGAAAATATTCTGGAAATATTCTTAAATTAAAGAAAACTTTCGAAAAATATTCTTAAATTAAAGAAAATATTGGAAAAATATGTTTCTTTAAAAAAAAGTAAAAATTTAATAATTAAGGATCTTAAAATCCTTAAATCACACAAAATGTTCTGTAACTATTTTTTAATTAAACAAAAATATATTCGGAAAATATTCTTGTAAGTTGAGAGAGTTTTCTAAAAATATTATTTAATTAAAAAAATATTCGGATTATATTCTTATAAGATAATATAATGTTCAGAAAATATTACGCAATTAAAAAAATATTTTAAATTTTAAAGTAAATATTCCTAAAACATTTTTCAATTAAAGAAAACATTCCGAAAATATTTTTAAATTAAAGAAAATATTCGGAAATATCATTAAATTAAAGAAAATTTTCCCAAAATATTCTTAAATCAAAGAAAATATTCAGAAAATATGCAGAAAATATTTTTAAATCATAGAAAATATTCTGGAAATATTCTTAAATTAAATAAAACATTGAAAAAATGTTTTCTTAAAAAAAAATAAAAAATTAATAATCAAGGATCTTAAAATCCTTAAATCACACAAAATATTCTGGAACTATTCTTTAATTAAACAAAAATTTATTCGAAAAATATTTTTGTAAGTTGAGAGAGTTTTCTGCGAAAATATTACTTAATTCAAAAAAATATTATTAAATTAAAGAAAATATTTGGGAAATATTCATAAATTAAATAAAACATTCGGAAAATCAAAGAAAATTTTCGGAGAATATTTTCAAATCACAGAAAATATTCGGGAAATATTCTTAAATTAAAAAAAAATTTCGAAAAATATTCTCTTAAAAAAATAAAAATTAGAAATATTCTTAATTCAAAGAAAATATTCGGAAAATATTATTGAATTAGAGAAAACTTTCCTAAAATATTTTAAAAGCAAATAAAATATACGGAAAATATTTTAAAAGCAAATAAAATATACGCAAAATATTTTCAAATAAAAACAGAAAATATTTTGGAAATATTCTTAATCTAAAGAAAAAATTCGAAAAATATTTTCTTAAAAAAAAATAAAAATTGAAAATATTTTTAAATCAAAGAAAATATTTGGAAAATATTATTAAATTAAAGAAAATATTCTTGAACTATTCTTTAATTAAAAAAATATATATTTGAAAAATATTCTTGCAAGTTGAGAGAGTTTTGTGAAAATATTACTTAATTCAAAAGATATTCTTATATAAAAAAAATATTCATAAATTAAAAAAAACATTGAAAAAATATTCTTAAATCAAAGAAAATAGTCTGGAAATATTTTTTAATTATAGAAAATATATTCGGAAAATTTTCTTGTAAGTCAAGTCAAGAGAGTTTTCTGAAAATATTATTTAATTAAAAAAATATTCTCACAGTTTTTCTAATGAAATCAAATTGAGACAAAAAAAAAGAAACAAAATGTTACTTCGCAACACTTTTGATTCTTTTTTTTGTCTCAATTTGATATCCTTTGAAAAACTGTGCTTAAATGAAAGAAAATATTCGGAAAATATTCTTAAATAAAAAAAAAAAATGATAAAATCATTCGGAAAATATACTCTTAATGCAAACAAAATATTCTGAAATTAATTTTTAATTAAGAAAATATTTGAAAATGACTTTTAAATGCGAAGAAAATATAGTTGAATTTTAATAAACGAAATTCAGTCTTACGTGAACTTTAATTTCAACATCGTCTTCGAGACTTTGAGACGTCGTTTGAAATCGACCAAGCAAAGCTCGACCATCTGTATCTGAGCTGTGTATGAATATCACTTTCATGTAGTTGAAATGTTTCAAAAGTTCTACCCAAACGTCTGCCTGATGAGAATATGGGGGCACAGTTCGCAGAAATGAAACGTGGATATTCTGTTTCGCAAATAATATTCATCGTGAAATTAAATTATATATTCTATTCTACTATAAATCATATGTGTATATATTATTATTATTATTATTATTATTATTATTATTATTATTATTATTATTATTATTATTATTATTATTATTATTATCATCATCATCATTATTGTAATTATTTTTTGCCTTATGATCATTATCAGATAATAATAATCTGTATATTCCATTTTGAACATTAATTCATCGATATTTGTAGTAGAAGACAATTTTATGAAGATAATTTTTTTGTCAGAATATAAGTAGTATTAGTAGATTTTAGTCAAACATGTATTTCTCAATATCACCAATATTTTAAATTAACTTGTTTTCGACAACCAAATTAGCATTTTTCTAATTCAAATTTTTATTGTTTTAGTCACAGTAAATCATGAGGTATTAAAAAGTGTTGCAGATTAATTTAACACAAAAAAAGATTAAAATAATCAGTTTTGGTGGTATTTTTTACAATGAATGAAATTTTAGTTCATTAAATTTTTTTAAAACAATAAAACATGAAGATATCAATAACTCCGAGTCTTCGACTCGGAATAATCGTTTTCTTCATATTTTATAATAATTAAAGATGACCAAGTAATAAAATCATTATTTTATATTATAAGAATATTATACTTCTTCAAAATTATTTTCATTATTTCAATTCAATTATTATTTTCAAAAATTTTTTAACTACAATTTTACTTTATATCAATTATTTTTAATAATTTTCGAAAAAGTTTTTTGGCAATTTTCAAATCCATTTGTTTACAATATTCAATTTCACGAAATTTCAATTATTCAGAAATTCTTTAATTAAATGCATATTAGAAAATAAAAACTTGAAATAATATAAAAGAACATTCAATTAAACTTTTTTAAAAAAATAATTTCAAAATTCAATTATTTCTAAAAATTCACTCTATATTTCTTTTAATATTCAATTATAATCTAAAATTTCAACTGAAATTCATTTTTAAATCAATTTCTAATAGAAAATTCTACGAGAGTTCAATTATTTAATTGAAAAAGTAAATAATTTATTGAATAATTGAATGGTTTCTCAAAATTCAATTCTCATAAAGAATTTTATTAACAAATTTTTAAATAATTAAATTCTTTTGTCGAATTTTATTAAAACTTGCATAAACATAATTACTTTTTTCAAGAAATTCAATAATTATAATTGTATGAAAAATAATTGAAACGCTGCGATCAGTTTTATTATTAGTAAAAATAATTGAATCCTTAAGAAGAATCTTAAAAATAATTTAATTTCTGCAATAATTTGTAACTTCTCTAAAATTAAATTTTTTCCTAGTGTTTTTAACTAAAATTCTTCAATAAATCCATTATTTTTAATAATTTTTAAAAAAGTTCTTTGAGAATTTTCAAATTCATTCCTTTACAATTCAATTTTCTAAAATTTCAATTATTCCCAAATTCTGCAATTAAATATATATTGAAAAATAAAAAATTGAAATAATTTCAATAAAAAATCCTATTAAACTTTTAAAAAGAATTAATTCTACAGAATTGTTTGTCAAAAATATGAAAAATTAAGAATTTCAATGATTTTAATTAGAAACTTTTTCAAAATTTAATTATTTCTAAAAATCCACGTTATAATGCTTTTAATATTTAATTATAATCTAAAATTTTAACTGAAATTCATTTTTAAAACCATTTTTATTAGTAAATTCTACGATAATTCAATTATTTATATACAAAAATAAATAATTTATTATTTATTATTTATATTTAATTAGAAACTTTTTCAAAATTTAATTATTTCTAAAAATCCACGTTATAATGCTTTTAATATTTAATTATAATCTAAAATTTTAACTGAAATTCATTTTTAAAACCATTTTTATTAGTAAATTCTACGAGAATTCAATTATTTAAATACAAATAAAATGAAAATAAATAATTTATTAATTTCATGTTTCTTGAAATTAAATTCTCATAAAAAATGTTATCAACAAATTTTTTAAATCATTAAATTCTTTAGACGAATTTTAATAAATTTTTTAAAAATAATTACATTTTTCCAGGAATTCAATTAAAATTGCATTAAAAATAATTTAAATTCTGCAATGAGTTTTATTATTTATGAAAATAATTGAATTCCTAAAAGAATTTTATTATTTGTAAAAATAATTTAATCCCTGTAAAAATGTTATTATTTATGAAAATAATTGAATTATTGCGAAGAAATTTATAAAAAAATTTGTAAATAATTGAATTCCTGTACAAATTTTCATTATTTATGAAAATAATTGAATGTTTGCGCAGAATTTTATTCAAATTTTTTTTAATAATGGAATTCTTTTGGAAAATTTTATTGAAATAGTAGATATTGAAAATCATTGAATTTTAGAAAACTTTTGTAAATAATTGAAATTTTGACAAGAATTTGATTAAAATTTTGTAGAATAATTAAATATCAGAGAAGAATTTTATTATTACATAATGAGAATTGAAATTGAAAATTGAAATTTAGCCTGGAGAAGCTGAATTCGTTGATTTTTTACAAATCGTTGACTTTGGTGTTTTCTTTAAAGTAAAATTTCATTCTTAGTTAAAAATAACACCAAAATAGATTATTTTAATCCTTTCTGGTGTTAATTTAATCCTAGAGGGATGAAGATGTTGCAGATTATTTTAATCCATTCTGGCGTTATTTTAACACCTTACGTTTTACTGTGTACGTAGTAAAAGTGTATTTTTAGTCAGACATATGAAATTGTTAAAATTTCCAATTTCAGTAGTCAAAGTCAATATCAGTCAGACATAAAGTCGTCTATTCTTTTATATTCGAACATTTGTATTAGTGGTAATTGTCAATTAATGTCAGACAAATTCTTACAAATTAATTATTGAATTTTTTCTAAGTGGTATAAGTAGATTTTAGTCAGACATGTCTTTAAATTCTAATTTCTCTTTTAGTACTCTAAATAATTGGAAATTGGTTTATAAGTACTGTTCAATTGATATTGGAAAAAATATACTTAAGAATTTTTTTTTATATAAATAATTAGTAGAAAAGGCCAGTTTTAGTCAGACTGAACGTAAATTACTCTCTAAATTTGAATTAGTAAAAATGTTTTCTAATTTGAATTCGTGACTAACTTATTACTTTATATTAATAAATTTTACTATTTATTAGTGAAATTTATGATTTATTGGTGAAATTGACTAATTCGAAAGGAAAAATCAGTCGCTAATTTAAATTAGTAAACATTTTTACTAATTAAAATTTAGAGAGAAGTAAATATTGTTTCAGTATCAATATATAGTATAGAATCTAATGGCTTACATTTTCTTATAAAATCCTAATTTTTAGTTAATAAAATTTAGTAGTAAAGTTAGTTTTCAGTTAGTAGTGTAAGTCAACGATTTTATAAGACGGATTAATTATATATTTTTTGTAATTTTTCCATTGGAAGTCAATTTAAGTCACAGTTAATAATTACAAAAATTTTTTACCATTCGATTATTAGTTGTAAAAGTAAAGTCTCATTTAGACATAATATTTTTGCATTATCAGTGGTTAGAGTCATTTTTAGTCAGACCGTAATTTTTCAAATGTCATAATTTTGTGGTTTCAGTAGCAAAAGTTGTCTTTAGTCAAACATAACAAGTGTTTATATTTTCGACATCTATATATTCACAAAATATAGAAATTACTCAAATATTATTATTATTAATCAAATATTAACGTAATAAATATTAATTTAATTGATTATTAATATTAAATTAATTATTTCAGTCAATTTAATAATTCAAACAACAACAAAGAAGCAGTTAAAAATTAATTTTCTGATTTTAAAGGTAAAGAATAATTTTAGTCAGACACAGTTGTTTGTGTTTTATTATTATTCATCCAGTTTTCCTATAAGAATATCAAATTGAGACAAAAAACGAAATAAAAAAGTATTGCGAAACAACATTTTCATTCGTTTTTTGTCTCAATTTGATATCTGCAGAAAAACTTGTGTGAATCTTATAGTGTTAGGGATAAAAAGATTCTATTTGTTACTTAAAATTAAATGTTAATTAAAAATTGAATTTTTTTGTAAAATAAATTTCTAAGTAGTTTAATGTTACTTTAGTCAGGCGAATATTCTTTTTCTTTCAATTTTCCCATAACCATTTGCTGTCAGTAGTTAAGGTCAATTTTCAAGCAGACAAATTTATTAACCTACAAAATCGTAATATACCAGTACAAGTAGTAAAAGTCAATTTTAGTCATACTATAGTTTTGTCGGTTATTTGATACATGATACTCTCTCGCCATTTTCCATCAATGTTAATTAAAGCCACATTAATTAATTGATGTGTTGAGTAATTATTTGATCTTTGAACTGCGAGTAAAGCGTCGTAAATCATCTCTATTAGGATTTCCCTGGTCTATTATTAATTATATGCCCTATAGTAGTTGATTTTATTTTTTTCACCTCACTCTCTAAACGTGAATTTTGTTAAAAAATTTTGAAAAATTCTCGTCAAAATTTCAATTATCTTTAGAAATAATTAAATTCTTCTTCGAAATATCAATTATTTTCAAAAATTTTTTAATAAAATTCTTGGAAAAATTTCAATTATTTTCCAAATTTTTCCTTAATTCAATGATTTTTAATAGGTATCTATACTATTCTAATAAAATTTTCCAAAGGATTCAATTATTTTAAAAAAAAATCTAATAAAATTCTACACAAACCTTTAATTATTTTTGAAAAATAATAAAAATTTTACAGGAATTTCATTATTTACAAATTTTTTTTTATAAATTTCTTCGCAATAATCAATTATTTTTATAAATAATAAAATTTTTACAGGTATTTAATTTTTTTGGCAAATAATAAAATTCTTATTAGAAATTCAATTATTTTCATGAATAATAAAGCTACCCAATGGGAAATGGCCATTAGTCTACCATTGGTGCATTAATGGCCCAATATTGGAAGCCATTGGTTTTCTCTAGGTTTATTATTGGCACCCAATAATGGACCACTAATGGTAAAATCGTGGGATGTCCACGCCGATGCCAATAATTGGCAAACCATTATTGGCACATTATTGGCTGCCATTAAAAAACCAATAATAAAAAAAAAATTTTTTTATTAAATTTTATTAAATAATAAATTTATTTATTTATTTAATAATTATTTTATTTATTATTATTTATTATTATTAAAAATATTAATTTTTTTAATTAATTATTTTATAGAAATGGGTATTATTTTCTATCACATCGAAATGTGAATAACCCATTCGTTCAGAGTCTAAAAATTATTTACCTCACATCCATCAGTGCAAAAATAGGAGAGGACGGGCAGAATAAAATTCTACAAATATTCGTGAGAATGCTGCCTCTTTATATACTATTCAAGTTTCATGTTAGTTGCGAGAGAGTTTGAAACAACACCTCCTACGGAGCGTTGAGCGAACTACATACTTACTACATGATAATTTCTGCAGCGTCGGTAAGTAATTGTATGTAGTTCGCTCAACGCTCCGTAGGAGGTGTTGTTTCAAACTCTCTCGCAACTAACATGAAACTTGAAAAGTATATAAGGAGGCAGCATTCTCACGAATATTTGTAGAATTTTATTCTGCCCGTCCTCTCCTATTTTTGCACTGATGGATGTGAGGTAAATAATTTTTAGACTCTGAACGAATGGGTTATTCACATTTCGATGTGATAGAAAATAATACCCATTTCTGTAACATAATTAATTAAAAAAATAATTATTTTTAATAATAATAAATAATAATAATAATAAATAAAGTAATTATTAAATAAATAAATTTATTATTTAATAAAATTTAATAAAAAAAATTTTTTTATTATTGGTTTTTTAATGGCAGCCAATAATGTGCCAATAATGGTTTGCCAATTATTGGCATCGGCGTGGACATCCCACGATTTTACCATTAGTGGTCCATTATTGGGTGCCAATAATGGGACAATAATGGAATGGTGGCTCCCATTATTGGGCCATTAATGCGCCAATGGTTTTTTTCCCATTGGGTAATTGCAGAATTTCAATTATTTTTAATACAATTTTAATCGAATTCCTCGAAAAATGTAATTATTCTTAAAAATTTTATTAAAATTTATCAAAGAAATTTAATTATTTTAATATCTTGGCAAAATTTCAATTATTTTCAAAAATTTTCCCTAATTTAATTATTTTTAATATATCTACTATTTTAATAAAATTTTGCAAAAGAATTCAATTTTAAGAAACATATGTAATTATTCAATAAATTTTCAATAAATTGTTTTTTTTGTATTTAAATAATGAAATTCTCGTTGAATTTTCTCATAAACTATGATTTAAAAAAGGATTTCAGTTAAAATTTTAGATTATAATTGAATATTAAAAGTATTAGAGCGTAAAGTTGTAGAAATAATTAAATTTTGAAAAGGTTTCAGATTCAAATCTTTGAAAATTTGAATTTTTCATATTTTTAACTAAGTAACAATTCTGTGGAATTAATTTTTTTGAGAAATTTTAATTGCGAATTTTTTTTTATATTATTTGAAGTTTTTATTTTCTAATACATATTTAATTGAAGAATTTACAAATAATTTAAATTTCGTAAAATTGAATATTGTAAAGAAATGGATTTGAAAATTGTCAAAGAACTTTTTCGAAAATTATTAAAAATAATCGATTTTAAGAAGAAGTTTAGTTAAAAATTCTTGAAAATAATAATTGAATTGATAATGATTTTATCACTCTATCTTTAATTATTATAAAACATGAAGTAATCGATCGCTTCGTGTCGAAGACTCGTAGTTATCGATATCTTCATGTTTTTTAGTTATGAAAAAATCTAATTTATAGTTTTAACTAAATTTTCTTTTATATATTTTTGTCAGTAATTGGTCCGTAAATGGTCCGTACTTTTTCATTTTTGGTCCGTAAAGTCCGTATTTTTAAATACTTTCACTGGTTCGAGCCCTGAAATTGTGATAATTAAAATTTCGAATTCAAGTAGTGAAAGTCAATGTCGGTCAGACAAAAATTATCTATTCTTTTATTGAATTGCTGGATTTAGTGGTAAATGTCAATTTTAGTCAGTCATTTTTTTTACACGGAGAAAATTTAAGTAGTCTAGTTCATTTACGTCAGACATGAATTTAATAATTTTAATTTTACTGTTTTTTTTTTAATTTTACTGTTAGTTGTAAACCAGACTTTGTGTCCTACAATTCCAATTTTTATTTTTTTAAGTAGTAAAGGTTTAATTTAGTCAGACAAACTTATAAAAATGTTAAAATTTTGATTCCTAGTAGTGATAGTCAATATCAGTCAGACATTTACTAATATAGTTTTGAAGTCGATTGTCAATTTAGAGCTTTTTTTTAATGTTAAGCGCTTTTTTTATTAAAAAACATTTTTCCGAAACGTGTCAATAATCGAAAGCTTTTTAGAATTCATTCCTGATTCATGAAAAAATTGTTTCTTTAAAAACAAGTTGGTCTTGACATTTTTCATACCATTTTTGGGGTCTATTATCAAATTAGGGTTTTTTTTTATTAAAAATAGGATTTCTTTTGGATAACATGACTTTTATTTTATTAAAAATGGTCTTTTTTATAAAAGAAGGTTTTTATCCGAAATTAAGCCTTTTTTTAAGTAAAGAAAGGTCAATTATCAAAAATCAGGATTTTTTTTATTAATGAAGAGCTTTTCTATTATTAATGTGCTTTTTTTCGAAACAAATCGATAATTGTAGAAACTTTTTCTAATCCATTTGTGATTCACAATATTTTTGAACCTTGAAAAATGAAGATGACCTTGACATTTATTTTTATACCATTTTTTGGGTCGATTATCAAATTAAGGAAATTTTTTTTTATTAATGATGAGCTTTTTAATAAAAAAGGTCTTTTTTTCGTAACGTGTCTACTATTTTCGTTCAACAAGATTCCCAGTTTTTTCCCGGCTATGTCCTAATTTTTTCCGGTTTTTTTTTAATCAAATTTAAATTTATTTGATTTCAAACATAAATAAATTGACAAATGGCTTTAAAAAATTGTATTAAGAGTTTTTATGAATAATTAAATTGTTCTGACGAGTTTCATGAAATTTTTGTTATAATTTTTTATTTGAAAATTTGGAAAATAATTGAATTAAAAAAAGAATTTTTTTGAATTTTTAAAAATAATCTTGTCCGTTTATAATTTATAATTGAAGATTTGATTTTTCAATTTTGTAAAAATTATATTGACAATAATTAAAATTCTGCAAAGAATTTTACTACTTATAAAAGTAATTGAATCCTTCCAAAGAATGTTGTTAGTTTGAAAATAATTTAATTCTTGCGAAAAACTTTGAAAAAAAAATTTTTTTTTTAATAATAAGCAGTAATAATTAAGTATTTACTTAATAAGTAATAAAAATTTAATTTGCTCAATAAATAAATAAATTTCATTTATTTGAACATTCAGAAATTTAAAATTACAGAAATATAAGAGTAGCTCAATAATTATAATTATTGAATAATAATATAATTTTTAGAAGCAATAATTGAGAGACTTATATTTTGAAAATAAAATTATAATTTCGGTCACTATACCTTCCTTTCATTATTTTCGAAAAATTTAAATAAAATCCCTTATAAGAATTCAATTATTTTTAATAGAATGTAAAGAAATTTTAATAATTTCAAAAAATTTTAATTGTTTTTATTCAATTATCTTGAAGCAATTGAAAAATTGAAAAAATCTTATTTTTCAGAATTTGAAAAAAAAATTCAGTGTTTTTTAAAATTTATTTACATACTATATTTGAATCAGTGACTGATTTTTATCTACCAAATTAATTATTTATCCATTATTTTTTAACTAATTCAAATTTAGACAGCAGTATAAATATATATAAAAATTGAAATAAAAGCAATTTTTTTTTTAAAAACAAATTAAAAATTAAAAATTTCCTAAAAAATAGAATTTATTATTTAGTTCTCGGTTTTTTGACATTTAATTATACCATTTTTTAGTCTATTATCAAATTAAGAATATATTTTATTGAAGGACTTTTTTTTTTTAATTAAAAACGAGCTTTTTTTCAGAAACTTTTTTTAATTCATTTCTGATTCAGAAAAAAATTTGCATCTTGATAAACTGCTGGTCTTGGCATTTTTTTTTTGGAAATTCCACATTAAATGAACTTTTTAGTAGTAGAAGTGTATTTGAGTCAGACGTAATTATTTAAATCTTAAATATTAAAATTTCGTATTTCAGTAGTCAAAGTCAATATCAGTCAGACATAAAATTGTCTATTCTGTTATTCGAACATTAGCATTAGTGGTGAATGTCAGTTTGTGTCAGACAAATATTCTTATTGTTAGAATATTTAATTCTTAAAAATTTGTTGCAAGTGGTAAAAGTACATTTTAGTCAGACATGTCTGTAAATTCTAATTTCTCTTCTATCATTATAGTAAATGTTAATATTGATAAAATTCGCTTATAAAAAATTATTTCTCAATGCAAAAAATAAATTTTTTTTCCCCAAAACTTGAACAGATTTTGCAAAAAAAAAAAAAAAACAGGTTTTTGAAAAAACAAATAGGGGATTGTTAAAATTTGTGAAGAAAAAAAAATTGATGACTTACTTTGTCCGAAAATGCTGAATCTCTAGACGATATACCAATTACTGGTATGTGATAGAAACCGCTTGTGTAAGACACTGCTGCGGGTGATAGATCACCTGTCAAAGGGTGTGATACTACCACTGCATAAACCCTTTGAGCGATTAATCGCTTACAGACATTTAGGGCTGTGCGGATTGGATTGGAATCCATTTCGATTACAGTGTGATAGTAAGTTACTCCTTTGTTCACATATTGAGAATCGAAGTTCAAATGCTAGAAATAATAGAATATTAGAAAAAAAAAATTTATTTCTTCCTTCAGTCTTTTTTTTCTATTTTACTTCATTGGTAATTTAAACTTTGGAAAAGAAAAAATTTTTTAAATTAATACCAATTTTCCTTTTATTCAGTGTTTTATTAGGTATTTATTTGGTTTTTATTTAATTATTTAAATGTAAATAAATTTAAATTTAATTTAAATTTTAATTTAATGTATTTATTATTTATTTATTTTTTATTTTATTTTAGAGAAAAATTCGTTAGAAAATGTTCGAAAAAATTTTCTTTGGTAAATTTCTTATGTCTTTGCAATAATATAATTAAATTTAGAGGGTATGTTAGAAAGTATATCAGATAAATAAAAGGAGACAGAGAAAGAGAGAAAGAGATAATTGTAAATAAGCCTTGAAACTGTCAAAAGCACTGATATTCGTTAAATTGAATTATTTCCAGCACTTTGGTTCAGTATAGAGTAAACAATTCTCCTAGTAGTTACGGACAGTTTCGGTCAGCCAATGGTCTGACTGGAAGTGACATTCGACTCCGGCTGACTAAACTTTCCCGCATCCATACTGACACAATTGATTGATGATAAATCCATTTATAAAAACGGCACAAGTTTTTTGTTTCTTCATTCACAAAACACATGAAAAAAAACCGAAATAACGAAAAAGCAAAAAATAAAAAAAATAAAAAAAATTCAATTTATAAATATACAATTCTCACGTATTGAAAATAATCCACTTGGTTTGCTTTATATGAATGTTCAAAAGAAAAGAGAAAGAAAGAGAGAGAGTAACAAGTGGAATATTTTTTTTTGCAAAATTTATTTATTATAGTAGAAAGAAGAAAACAAAAACGAAGAAAAAAGAGAATAAATAATTTAATAATAAATAATTAATAATAATTGATAGCAAATAATTTTAAATTTCCATTAGTTTTTTTTATCCAAATTTAATTTTCTGCTTTTAATATTTATTTCTATATTTTTATTTATGTTTTTACGTTTTATATTTATTTCAAAAAATTTTTTTTTTATATTTATTTGTTATATTATAAATGGAAGAAAAAATTATTTCAACTACTTGTGGTCTTTAGATTTTAATGAGTAAAAATGTTTACTAATTTGAATTAGTGATTGACTTTTTGCTTTTGATTTAGTAAATTTTTATTAATAAATTAGTAGAAATTACTATTTATAAAGAAAAATTTGGCTTTTAGATTTGTTAAATTTTACTAATAAATTAGTAGAAATTACTATTTCAGGATTGACACATAACTTTAATTTTGTTTTTCCCTGACTTCTCCCTGATTTCAAGACAAAATTTTCACTTTTTCCCTGAATTTTATCTGAAATTCATTTTTTAATAAATTTTCATTAGAAAATTTTTGGAAAATGCAATTATTTACATACAAAAGTAAATAATTTATTAAATAATTGAATATTTCTTAAAATTCAATTTTTATGAAGAATTTCATCAAAATTTTTAAAAATATTTAAATTCTTTCGGTGAATTTAAAAATAAATTTTTAAAATAAATGCAATTTTTTATTAAAATTGTATAAAAAATAATTGAAATTCTCCGATAAGTTTTGTTCTTTATGAAAATAATTGAATTCTTGCAACGAATTTTATTAAAATTTTTTTTTAAAGAATTTTATTTGTAAAAATAATTGAATTCCGGAAAAAAATCTGACAAAGAATTAAAAAAATTATTTTTTAAATAATTGAATTCCTGTTAAAATGTTTATTTTTGAAAAGAATAGAATTTTCAGGAAGAATTATATTATAATTTCTTAAATAAATGAATTGCTTTGAAGAATTTTATTTTTTACGAAAATAATTGAATTCTTTTGAAGATTCTTACAAACATTTTTGACAATAATTGTATTCTTAGAAGGAATGTTTATATTTTACGAAAATAATTTTATTCTACGACCAATTTTATAATTTTTCAAATTTACAAAGCATTTTATAAAAATTTTTTTAAATAATTGAATTCTTAAGAAAAATTTTATTATTTATAAAAATAATTGATTTCTAGCGAAGAATTTTATTTAAATGTTTTTTAAACAATTGAATTCTTATAAAAGAATGAATTATTTGTGAAAATAATTGAATTCTCAAGAAGAATAAATTGTATTGAAAATAATTGAATTGTATAGGAAAATTTTATTACAATTGCAAGTTTATTAACTAAATCTTGTAAATATTTTGTCAAAATCTTTTTAAATAATAGATTTTTTAAAAGAATTTTATTTAAATTTTTCGAAATTATTGAATTTTTCAGAACTATTTTTTTTCAATTCTCTGAATATATTTGAATTCCTTCGAGAAACTTCATTAAGAAATTAAAAATAATTGAATTGGTGCGAAGAAATTTATAAAAAATTGATAAGTAATTGAATTCCTGTGAAATTTTTATTAATATTTTGTTTAAATAATTGAATTCTTTTGGAAAATTTTATTAAAATAGTAGATATTGTAAATAATTGAAATGAGGAAAATTTATGAAAATAATTAAAATTTTGCCAAGAATTTTATTAATTTTTTTTTAAATAATTGAATTTTAAAGAAGAATTTTATTATTTATGTAGAAAATTGAGTCAGGACACAAGTGGATAGAATTAAAATAGTTTATTCAAAGAAATCCTAAGATTACATGATTGTCGTTGAGCGGAAACAATGAAACTGCTGGCTTCTTTTTACACACACTTACAAGAGAATATACGCATGCGCTAACTTTATCCGGACATTACTACAATTTGAAAGGCCCCGCGAATTAACAAAATTCTACCTAACCCCAAATCCTACATTTATAAAAATAATTGAAATCCTGTATTTATTAATAAAATTTACTAATTAAAAAGCAAAAAATGAGTCACTAGTTCAAATTAGTAAACATTTTTACTTATTCAGATTTAGAATAAGTTTATTTATTTTATTTCTTTATTTTTTATTTATTATTAAAATGCTAAATCTTTATACTTTTATTTATTTAATTCATTTAGATTTAAGTTCATATTCAATTGATTTCCTTAATTTTTAATTAATTTTTACATCGTAAAATATTAAATTTACTTAAAAAAATGAAATTAATTTAATTATTTTAGGGAAAAAAAATATTTTTATTAGACTTTTATTTACTTACGTCGATGGTGGTGTTGAAATGCTCCTCACTTTGTTTATTAGAAAGAACGCCACCAATATTAAATCGACCGGGATTCACAAATGTTCGAGCAGCGAGTCCTGGATTAAAGGAGTCTTGCAAAAGCATTAAACAAATTAATGACACCACTCTCTTTCGTTGATCCATTGTTGATTTTTTTTAATCTCTACCTGAAAAAGAAAAATTGTTTCGTTTTATATAAAAAATTTCCATTTGATTATTGCTCAATTTGTTTATTCAATTTTTGTTTAATTTTTTTGTTTTTTAATTATTTTAAGTGCTGTTTTATCAATTTTTTTACAATAAAATAAATTTTACAATAAAATAAATTTTACAATAAAATAAGTTTTACAATCAAATAAAATGTATAATAAATTAATAAAGTTTCAGTTTGTAAGTAAATAAAAGTCGTAGTAATTAACTGAAATTTGTAATTAAAAAACAAATTTCGTAATGAATACAGTTTGTAATTAATGAAATTCGTAGCAAATGACTAAAACTCGCAGTGAATAAATAAAATTTGCAATTAATAAAATCCACAGCAAATGAATAAAAGTTGGAGTGAATAAATAAAATTTGTAATTAATAAGATTCGTAATAAATAAATAAATAAAATTCACAATGAATATACAAATTTCGAAATGAATAAAATTCGTAATAATTATACAAATTTTGAAATGAATATAAAATTCGTAATAAATCAACAAATAAAATTCGTCAAAAATAAAATATACAATAAATAAATTGCTATCTCTAATTAATAATAAAAATAAGATTTAGATTTCTAATAACTAATAAGTGAAATAGATAAAAACTATGTTTAAAATTTTTAACAATAAAGTAAAATATTTTTTTTCCTAAATAAATTATAAATACTGGAAAAATTTTTAATCTCGAAATAAATAATAAATGTAAAGAACAATCCTTTTTAAACATTTTAAAAATAGAGAAATATAGAAACAAATGTAATCTTCCTTTTGTATTGTATATAAAAATTTTTTTTCTCAAATTCGATTTCCCATTTTCCATTCACTTCCTGTCGTATTGGAAACAAAAAAAAAATTCTTTTTTTCCATTTACATTTGAATCCATTGCAAATTGCTGTATATTTTCAAATTCAATAGTTTTGCCAAATAGATTCGTTCAATTTGATGCTCTTCAATTTTCCTCCATGTTTGTATATTTTTCTTTTAAAAATTTCACATGTTCCCTTTGCCGCAATTCAAAATTGCTTCCGTAAATGTTTTAGTTTCTTAAAAATTGCCAACATGCAGTTTAAAATTTTTTTTTTAATTTTACATAGTCATTCGATGCTGATACGAATTTTCTTTCTCTAATAAAATATATTATTTCGTTAATATTCAATATTTTTTATTTTTGTTGAGGAAAATTTGTTTTTTTACAAAAAATTTTACCGGTGAAAATTTTTGTCTGTATAATTTATTATTCAGAAATAATACTATGAAATAGTAACAATAATAATAAAAGTTAATAAAAAATAAATAAAAAAAAATTAATAAAAAATTAATAAAAAGTAAATAAAAAAAATAAAAAATTAATAAAAAATAAATAAAAAGTTAATAAATAATAATAATAGTAATAATAATAATAAATAGTAATAAGTAGAAAAATATTTCAAATTTTCTGTATTTCAATCCCTATAAGAGTTAATCTCCCATTTTTTTCAGTTTTAATTTCCAAAAAAAAAAAAAAATAATAATAAACAATATTACACAGAAATATTAAATAATTTCTATTTTCCTTAAGTTTCTTTGAAATAAACGAATTTTTTTCGATTTAAATGTTTGTTTTTTGAAAAAATAAATATCTATACTTAGTTGAGAATTAATTTTTTTTGACAAACTGATTTTTTAAAATATTTTTTTAATTGAAACAAATTTCTTTTTCTGTTTAAATATTTTCTGCGGAAAAGTAGTGAAATGCAAAAGAAAATAAATATTTATAAGTATTATTTGAGAGTTAATTTTTCTACCAAAATAAAATTTTTTTAGAATTATAATTAAACGGAATTTTTTTCCTGTTTAAATATTTACTGAAAAAATGGAATAAATATTTATTTATAGGTTAATTTTTTTAAACCAAACGATTTTTTTTAAATGTCATTTAATTAAACGAAATTTCCTTTTTTTAAAAAATATTTTCGGAAAAATATAAAAACTGTTTATTAAAAAACTATTTGTGTAAAATAAATATTTTCTTGGATTGAAAATTAATATTTTTTAGTATAACACACCCGGAGAAAAAGTATCATTTGACACTTAGAGCCACTAAACTTTTTATTTGTTTTAAATAAATATTTGTTTCAAATCAATTTGGATTACCTAAATAAATTTTATTTGTTTTAAATCAAGTCGGTTTAAATAAAATTTTTTTCTTGGTCCAGTTCTTGAATTGTTAAAACTGATTAAAGAAAAGTTTTTTTTTGTTTTAAAAAGTTTCCAACGATAAATAGTGAAATAAAAATATAAAATTAATATTTACTTGATTGAGAATTAATTTTTTTTTTAACGAAACGATATTTTTAAAAATTATTGACTAAAACTGTTTTTTTGTTTGAAAAATTTTCCAACGAAAAATAGTGAAATAAAAATATAAAATTAATATTTACTTAATTGAGACTTAATTTTTTTTTCTTTAACGAAACGATATTTTTAAAAATTATTAACTAAAACTGTTTATTAAACTAAAAATTGTTTATTTGCATAACTGAAATTTTACATAGAGACAACATGGAGGAAAATCGAAAAATTTTTGTAGAAAATTTATTATTCGAAAATTAAATTTTTTTTCACAAACTGAATAATTTAATGTCATCCATTTCAAATGAAAATAAATTTAAATTGATTGTTGCAAATGTAATAAAAAATACAGTCGCAGTAAATAAATAATTGTTACATTCACTTTGTCATTGGAAATTATTTGGGTCAGTCAATTAAACCAACAAGCGCCTTCTATCGTTCGATTCGATAAATTTATAAATAAATACAACATTAGATTTCGAATACAAAACTCAATTGTCAATTAAAAATAAACAATTATCGAATAAATGTTTCTCAATTAAAAAAAAAAAAAATGGACAAAATCAAGAAAAAGAGAAAAACAGTAGTGACATATTTTCGAGTTTCGATTTTCCAGGATTGTATCCATACCACACTGACTGTTTATATATATGTATATATATATATATATTGGAATGGAAAAGTGAGTGTTGTTGTAAAAAAGAGTGTAAATTGAGATGTGGAAACGTGGTAAATTTGAGGTTTCGACTTACCCCGACGATAATTTATTCACGACAGTCGGCTCAGTCGCAAAAGTGAAGCTTGTAGTCACATTTCCGTTTGGGAATGAGGCTTTGAATATATGCGAAACTAGATACAACACGTGAAACTATCTAAATACCGAATACCGAAATCGAACGAAAGTCATACCAGCTGTAGACCCGAGGACTCATTGATCCAGTCGGATGCTGCGCGCTCGCATCCTACACCCCACCTTTGACTTGTACTACTTGCTGGCTTTTCCATACACCCCAAGATAACACTTGAAATTATCTCAAAAAGTATTTTCAAAAATAAAAATTCCATTCATTTTGTTTTTATCTGAAAGAAAAAGTTTTCTGTTCAAAATAGTCAAAATGAAAAAAAAAAAAAAAATGCAAAAATTCGTTGGAAAATACTCAAAATACTGATTATAATAATAATGTTTATGAAAACTATTATTTTTATGCAAAGAAAAAAGAGTTAAAATTCTACCGAAAAATATTAATATTTTTTTAATTATTTATTTAGTATAGTTACTAAATTAACAAATAATTTAATGATTATAAAAATTATAAATTCAATTATTAAATTAATAAAAATTTTAATAGTTATAAATAAAATTACTAAATTAATAAATATTCTAATAGTTATAAATTCAATTACTAAATTTATAAATATTTTAATTATTATAACAATTATAATGAACTAGCAACAATTTGTCACCTTTGTACTCCCTTTTAAATAAAAAATTTAAATAAAATTAGCAATTTTAAAAATAATAGAATGTAAAAATTTTTAATTCAAATTTATTTTCATAAAAATAGAATATGAATTGGAATATAGTTCTAGTATTATTATAACTATAATAATCATATATTCTGACATAGGGAATTCAGGAAAAAATCAAGAATTTTTATTAAAAGTACTAAAACAAATTAATTTTTTAGAATTCATAAGAAAATTCTGAATTTTTGGGTCTTTTTTGTTTAACACATAAACTATAAAATTACCACGAATTCTAATACAAAATCTTCAATTTTTTCAATTTCGAACAAAAATTTCTTTTTAAATAACTTAAATCTTGAACAATTATCATAAAATAAATAAATTATTTTATGAATAATTTTACTTAAATATATTTCAAAATTAATTCAATTTTAAAAGAGTTGCGTTTACAATTTTCATAAATAAATCAACTTCAAACGGATTCACTTTGAACTTTTATAAACTTTCAATGTTGAATGAATTTAATAAGAAATTTTAATGAACTTAGATTTTTGAAAAAATTTAATAATTCAAAATCTTTTAAAATTAGTTAAATTTGTCAATATATATATATATATATTTAATTAATTATTAAAAATAATGGATTTATAGAAGAATTTCAGTTAAAAACACTAAAAAAATTGAATTTTGAAGAAGTTACAAATGATTGCAGAAATTCAATTATTTTCAAAAGTAATAAAATTCTTATCACAAAATTCAATTATGTTCAAAATTTACAAAAAAAGCTCGACAAAATCCCAATTATTATCTTTATGAATAAAAAAATTCTTCAAAATTCAATTTTTTTCAAAAATTTTTCTCATTTCAATGATTTTCAATGACTACTTTTTTAATAAAATTTTTAATTTTCCAAAAGAATACATAAATAAATTCATAAATAAAAAAAATTTCACAGGAATTCAATTATTCAGAAATTTTTTATTAGTTTCTTCTCAATAATTAAATTATTTTCAGAAATAATAAAACTCATCGCAGAATTTCAATTATTTTAAATTTTAATACAATTTTAATCGAATTGCTCGAAAAATGTAATTATTCTTAAAAATTTAATTAAAATTGGTAAAAAGAATTCAATTATTTAAAAATTCATTGGATAAAATTCTTTATTACAATTCAATTTTGAAACATTCAATTATAATTATTTACTTTTCAATAAATTCAATAAATAATTTACTTTTGTATTTAAATAATTGAATTCTCGTAGAATTTTCTAATAAATATTGATTTGAAAATGAATTTTAGATAAAATAAAATTCAATAATTTAAACAAAATTTTGGTAAAATTCTACGCAAACATTTAATTTATTTCGTAAATAATAAAAATTTCATAGGAATTCAATTATTTACAAATTTTTGTTATAAATTTCTTCGTAACAATTACATTATTTTCATGAATATTCAATTTTTTTACAGATATTTCATTGTTTTCATAATTAATAAAATTCTCTTTAGAAATTCAATTATTTTTATAAATAATAAAACTCATCACAAAATTTCAATTATTTTCAATACATTTTTAATCGAATTCCTCGAAAAATTATTTAAATAATTGAATTCTCGTAGAATTTTTTAATAAAAATTGATTTGAAAATGAATTTTAGTTTAAATTTTAGGTAAGTAATAATAGAATATAAAAATAATTTTTAAGAAGTTTTCAAATTTAAATTTTCCAAACAATATTAATTAATTATTTATTTATTATTTAATGCGTTGGTGAATTTCAGAGCATTAATAATTAATGAATGCAAGGAAAAAATAATTTTCTTGATAAAATCAATAAAATGGTTCTTTTAAAAATTTTTCTATTTTAAATTATTGTTAAATTATATAAAAAATTCAAATCATCATTGATTAGAAACTTTGTGAATTTTACCAACGTTAGTAAATTCGTAAATATTTTCATTAGCATAAATATAGTATAGATATTAATATTTTAATATTAATATTTGAATAATTAAAATTTATTAATTCATCTCAAAAATTGAAGATAAATTCAGAAATTAAATGGAAGTAAAGTTCACAACGTTTATTAACGATTAAAATAAAAAAAAAAATTGGAAAGTAAATAATTTTATTTTCCAGAAGAAGAATAATACATTTTTTTACTTGGGATTTTTTTTTTTTTTTTTTGAAAATTGTGACTCAAGAAACTTTATAAAAATGATTTTATAACAAAATTTTACAACTATTTGCTTCGAAAAATATTTTTTTTCTTTTAAACTTTTAGGGATAATCGACTTAAAATAAGTGAATATTTTGAAGATTAATATTTAATGAAAAAATAATTTTTAAAAAATTAAATAAAAAATTATATTTATGAAATTAATTACTAATTTAATAATTTACTATTATTATAATTATTATTACTTTTAGTGCTATTATTATTAATTATTAATAATAATCAATAATTAATAATTAATAATCAACAATTAATAATAATAATTATATTTCATAATTTAAATTCTATAATAATTGGCTTTATTTCATAAAAGATTATTCTATTTTAATTTTGTCACATTTATCGAATTCGTGAATTTTTGCAAAATTAATATTATCATTATTTTTCTCATACAGTAATGAAATTCAATTCGATCCTTGGGATCAAATTAGACTGAGTGGCTCTAAATAAAGGGAATAATTTGATCCAGATATAACGATAATAGTGATAAAACTAATTTGAAGTCTAATTAAGGATGACACAAATTGCGAAGACAACGATCAAAGTATTAATACATTGTCAGTTCAATTTTTTTCTCTCTCTAAAAAAATATACGAAAGAAAGTAATTAATTTTTCTATCAAAAATATTATTTTCAAAATCTAATTTAAATAGGGTTTAAATAAATTTATTCTCTGTTAAGAACAATTAAATATTATTTAAATATCATTCCATTTAACATTTTATTAAGTTATTTTCGAATGTTTTTTTTTGGAAATAAATAAAAGAAAATACATATAAATTCGATTTGTCAGACAACATTTTTTTTAACAAAATTTTTATTTTTTTATAGACAAAAATTTGCATGATTTTGATTTGTCAATTATTATTATTCAAAGACCAAAATTTTATAAAAAAAAAAAGAAAATATGGCATCATTTTTTTAAATATTATAAAAATTTTACGATTCGAGTAAAATACTTATTAAACTAATTGTATTCAGTAAATAATAATAATAATAATTTGGAAACTAGAATTTGAAGCCATATTAGTGCGGAAAATAGGTTAATTTAAATTAATAATTGACAAAATTTACATGTCGAGATTATGCAATCGGTTGAGATTATTTGTATTATATATAGTTACATACAAATTCTTACTGGGGTAGTTACAATCAAGTGTATACATAATCAATATATTGTACCTAAATTAATGAATCATTATACTTCCTTAATTAAGTTATAGATAAAATAAAAATAAAATAAAATTCGAAAATATTTTTTTTTCTTTTTTTTTTTGAAAATATGAAAATAAAATAAAAATTTTTTTTTTTGCAAATAATTTATACCACCAGAGTAAATACGAATAATTGAAAACTGTGGTTTTTGCGTAAAGAAATTTACATGAAAGTAACAAGAAAATGTTATTGCATTTTTTAAAATGCCGGAAATAGTTTTTCCAATGCAAATTTACATGATACTGTTTACCTCGTATTCAATTGTTTTTTTTTCATTTCCACCAGTAGTAGGAGAGAGAGTGTTGTGTGTATATCTGAATATTGAAAATTAATAATTTCTCGAAAATCTATTTATACTAAATAACAAGTTTTTTTTTAATCAAACCTAATAATAATTATAATTTTAGTATAAAAATTTTAATGAATTTTTTTTTTAGTTTTTTTTTGTTTAAAAATAAGTTATTAGTGAAAAATAATTAATTAAATGTTATTCTAAAGTCTCGAACGTTATTCAACAAGGATATATTTTAATTACATTTTTTAATTATCGCACATATTATTTATTAATTAATATTTTTGTTCTACCTACGTCGAAAAATTCCATGGAATTTCCGTTTAAAAATTTTTTTAAAATGCAATGTCAAAATTTCAATTATCTTTAAAAATAATAAAATTCTTCTCCAAAATTCAATTATTTTCAAAAATTTTATAAAATTCTTGGATAAAAATTTAATTATTTTCAAAAATTGTCTTCAATTCAATCATTTTCAATATCTACTATTATTATAATAAAATTTTTCAAAATCTTAAGATTTCAATTATTTAAAAAAAGTGTTGATAAAATTTAACGCAAACATTAAATTGTTTTCATATATAGAAAATCTTTTTAACGAGATTCAATTATTTTCATGAATAATAAAACTCATCATTGAATTTCAATTATTTTCATAAATAGATAATTCTTTTACAGAGATTCAATTATTTTCATTAATAATAAAACACTTCATAGAATTTCAATTATTTTTAATACAATTTTATCCGAATTCTTTATAT